GGTAAGACCGCTGCTCTTGTCCAAGGTGCCTCTGATTCCGGTCACTTCAAGGCTGTCATGGACAACATTGGTACCTCTCTCCTGGTCCTCGTCATGTTCTGGATTCTCGCTGCCTGGATCGGTGGTTTCTACCGTCACCTGAAGATCGCTACTCCTGAAAACCAGGACAACACCTTGCTCCACTGGACTCTTATTCTCCTCATCATTGGTGTCCCCGTCGGTCTCCCCGTCGTCACCACCACCACTCTTGCTGTCGGTGCCGCCTACCTGGCTGAGCAGAAGGCTATTGTCCAGAAGCTCACTGCCATCGAGTCTCTTGCTGGTGTTGACATTCTGTGCTCTGACAAGACTGGTACTCTTACTGCCAACCAGCTCTCCATTCGTGAGCCCTACGTCAACGAGGGTGTTGATGTTAACTGGATGATGGCTGTCGCTGCTATTGCCTCCAACCACAACGTCAAGAACCTCGACCCCATCGACAAGGTTACCATCCTTACTCTCCGTCGTTACCCCAAGGCCCGTGAGATCCTCGCTCGCAACTGGGTTACTGAGAAGTACACTCCTTTCGACCCTGTCTCCAAGCGTATCACCACCATCTGTACTTGCGACGGTGTCCGTTACGTCTGTGCTAAGGGTGCTCCCAAGGCTATCCTCAACATGTCCGAGTGCTCCGAGGAGGAGGCCGCCAAGTTCCGTGAGAAGTCTGCTGAGTTCGCCCGCCGTGGTTTCCGTTCCCTTGGTGTTGCCGTCCAGAAGGAGGGTGAGCCCTGGCAGCTTCTTGGCATGTACCCCATGTTCGACCCCCCTCGTGAGGATACTGCCCACACCATCGCTGAGGCCCAGCACCTTGGTCTTTCCGTTAAGATGTTGACTGGTGATGCTCTTGCCATCGCTAAGGAAACTTGCAAGATGCTTGCCCTGAGCACCAAGGTCTACGACTCCGAGCGTCTTATCCACGGTGGTCTTGCTGGCTCTGCTCAGTACGACCTTGTCGAGAAGGCTGATGGTTTCGCTGAGGTCTTCCCCGAGCACAAGTACCAGGTCGTCGAGATGCTTCAACAGCGTGGCCACTTGACTGCCATGACTGGTGACGGTGTCAACGATGCTCCTTCTCTCAAGAAGGCTGACTGTGGTATCGCTGTCGAAGGTTCCACTGAAGCCGCCCAGGCCGCTGCTGATATTGTCTTCCTTGCTCCTGGTCTCTCCACCATCGTCGACGCCATCAAGCTTGCTCGTCAGATTTTCCAGCGTATGAAGGCTTACATTCAGTACCGTATTGCTCTGTGTCTCCATCTTGAGATCTACCTCGTTACCTCTATGATCATCATTGAGGAGACCATCCGCGCTGATCTTATTGTCTTCATTGCCCTCTTCGCTGATTTGGCTACCATTGCTATTGCCTATGATAACGCCCACTTCGAGCAGCGTCCCGTCGAGTGGCAGCTCCCCAAGATCTGGGTCATCTCCGTCGTTCTTGGTATCTTGCTTGCTGCTGCCACCTGGATTATCCGCGCTTCTCTCTTCCTTGCCAACGGTGGTATCATCCAGAACTTCGGTTCTCCTCAGGAAATTCTCTTCCTTGAGGTTGCCCTTACTGAGAACTGGCTGATCTTCGTTACTCGTGGTGGTAAGACCTGGCCCTCTTGGCAGCTGGTCGGTGCTATCTTCGTTGTCGATGTCCTCTCCACCCTGTTCTGTGTGTTCGGTTGGTTGTCCGGCGACTATGAGCAGACCAGCCCCCCTAGCCAGGCTGAGTTCTCCGTCAATGGTGACGTCGACATTGTCACTGTCGTTGTCATCTGGGCTTACTCCATCGGTGTCACCATCATCATTGCCGTTGTCTACTACCTCCTCACCATCATCCCCGGTCTTGACAACCTTGGCCGCAAGAACCGCTCCAAGGCTGACACCAAGATCGAGAACATGCTTAGCCACCTCTCCAAGCTGGCTATCGAGCATGAGGTCGACGCCCACGGCAAGTCCCGCTACATGCTGGGTGCCCGTGCTGAGGTCGAGGAGGATGAGTAAACGCTTGATTACGCTCATTTCATTTAATACTATCCGATCCGGATATCACTTGAGCATACATGCATGAGCTGGTGCACCGGCTTTATTATTTTACCCGTATTATAGACTTTTTATGCCTTTATTACTTTGCTCTACGTTTATAGAGTGAATTTTCCTTTCTTTATCATGTATGTATGTCACTAATAGTGGTAAATTAGTCAAATCAAGGGTTTCCAAAGAATTTTCTCATCTCATCTCTAGTAAATCACTTTTTTCAACAGTTCCTCTTTTGACTCGCTCTCGCTTTTTCTTTTCTTTTTTTTTTTCCCGCACCCTTCGCTAAGGTCACCTTGGGGTCTTTCCTTCCCCTTGATTAATATTCGGATCGGCAAATCTGGACTGCGCTCAGTCTCATCTTAGACACGGTCCACTCAACGCACACAGAGCCCCTCTTGGCAGGTACGGTGGGCCCTCATTTTCTCAACCGCGCGGGACTAACAGTCACACTTCGGAGAACGCCCGATAGAGCGACAAGACCGAGGTAGATGCTCCCAGATTTGAATCATGTAACCGTGGCAGTGGGTAGTAGTTTGGCCTAGCGTTCTTTGAAGCTGAGCTGGCCAGCTCCAAGCTGTGGTGGGTTCGGTCCACCGCGACGGACTATACGGTGACTAGTATTGATCATATGAACAATTGCTGCAAGGTACGCCCCGCTCTGCTGTTGGGGTCCATGTGAGAGAAGGAAACCGAAGGAACGAAGCAGAAAATCCCGCAGTGGGATGATTGTTGGCCTGTAATCTAAGGCATCAGTTCGCTTGGCCTGGAGTGGTCCGATGTTCTCCCAAAGCGGAAATCACCTGCCGGAGTACGGCGTGACCTGACCTCTCGGTGTTTTTGGCGAGTTCAAAGACACTCTCATGATATACTACTACTACTGCTACTACTGTTACTACCCACTCATGATACTCTACTGCGCTGTCTTTACTGTTCAGTCATAGAGAGCGCTCTTACCTCACCAGCTCTATCGAATACGCGGTTGTCTTAGTCTATCTATACCTTTGCTCTCTTCAACGTACTGTACATACACATACTGCACCCCACTTAGCGACCACCTTATGACCGCCCATACTGGGCATAATATTCAAAGCAATAGAATGATAAATCATCTCAAATCACAACCCATAATTGATATACCGCTCGTGTTATACTTAGCTTGATATACTACAGAAAAGTCTTCCGTCGTTTAACCCTTAGTCTAAAGATGCTAACAGGTGGAAAGCAATTCTCCGCATACTGCATTGAATTTCTCCGTCCCTTGGTCTGGGGAAATCCACGCCCAAATGCGGGGTGATCAAATCCCCAGAATCCCCAGATTGTCCAATTAGTGACTTGGGTAGTTATACAAGCTCTTGGACTATAGACAAGCCTTGTGACAGTGGGAGTAGGCTGCGTGTGCTTGACCAACGGTGTTGATTCGTGTTGAGTTTACTACGATGTATCTCTCCGCAAATTTTCCCGGGGTAGAAGAACGTAAGACAGATTTTCCGATATGAAGTATAAAAGATTCACACTGCATTGGGGGGATGCGTGTGAGAGGGATTGCTTGTTCATACCAGCGGATTCCCACTCTACCACTTGACCACCATGCGTTCATCTGGGCTATCACTCTTGTTCGGTGCCCTTTTGGCATCTGCAAGCCCTCTCAAAAATTCCAGATACACCTGTCAAACGGCCCTCAGCTGTCCGGAAGGAACAATTCTTGTCTCCAAGACGGACCCCTCCGCCCATTTCACCACTGTGCAAGAAGCCATTCTTTCCCTCCCGAATGACAACACCACCCAGACCATCCTCATCCTCCCAGGAACGTACAAGGAGCAAGTAAATGTGACTCGGTCCGGGCCTGTTACGCTCCTCGGACAGACCGATGATCCTAACAATGCCACCAAAAATAAAGTCACTCTTACCTGGGCCCAAGCGAACCATGACAATACCGGCCAGGCAGTGGATAATGTCTTCTCGAGCGTCCTGACCGTTGCACCCACGCTGGAATCGAGCTATACGGGATCGGGCACGACAGGGTATCCAGTGCCGGAAGACACACCGTTCGGCAACGTCGATTTCCGGGCATACAATATTGATTTCACGAATACATGGCGAGACTACTCCGATGGACCGGCGCATGCGATCAGTTTCAGTCGCGCCAATGGCGGGTTCTATCACTGCGGGTTCTATTCTTACCAGGATACTGTACACTCTCCTTTCTCTTGCAGTCGAGTGTGAACTGAAACTAACTAATGAACGAACTCAGGTTTATGTGGGCAAACTCGGCAACGCATACTTCCATAAAAGCATCATCGCCGGCCAGACAGACTTTCTGTATGGTTTCGGCACCGCCTGGATCCAATCTTCTGAGATTCTTCTGCGCAACTGTGGTGGCGGTATCACCGCTTGGAAAGGAACTAACACTACCTTCACCAACAGCTACGGCGTGTACATTGTCGATTCTACCGTCAAGGCAGCCAATGCATCTATAGCCCCTGATATCCGGGGTAAATGCGCCCTAGGCCGTCCATGGAATAGCCAGCACCGGTCCATATTCGCGCGCACCTCCGAAGACGCAAGTATCATTCCAGCTGGGTACATCGACTGGATCGTCGACGGCGAGGGACGCTTAAACAAGGATACCGTCATGGCCGAGTACAAGGCTTTCGGTCCGGGCTTCAACGCCGCCGGACGGGAAGACGGAAACGTCACGATAGTAATGGACGACAAAGAGTACGCGAGATACAGCTCCCCAGCAAGAGTCTTCCAATATCCAGACGGGGAATTCGGAAACATCGGCTGGATCGACTGGAGTGTGTCCAAGAACTGATTCAATTACTATTATCATACCCCAAATCCAATCCACACTCTTTCAATCATATCAGACACCGCCGCTCGACTAAACAAAGGAAAAGAGACATAATAAAAATACACATGTATAAAGCCTTCAGCTAACCGTCTAACCCCCCAACCCTAGCCAAATACGCCGCCCCCGTATCTGCCCAAACCTCATAATCCACCACCTTCACCTCCCCCTCCTCCTCCGCAAGCCCAATCCGATACGCAAACGTCTCATCCCAAGCCTGCCCTGTCTCATTCCAACGAAACCGTGCCTCCCCCCGCAACGAAACAGCCATCGCCCTCGCATCCACGACCCATTTCTCCTCCGGCTCGAAATCCATCTTCTCGATCGTAAGCAGCTCAGACAGGAGTCCGAAGTAGTGTCGTAGTCCTTCCTGGCCGGTGAATGGGCGGCCGAGGAAGGGGGCAAGTTGCGGGAGGCCGTGCTCGAGCGCTGTGGGCGGGGGTTCTTGGGTGAAGTTGGAGAGGAGTGTTGGTAGGGGAGCGCTGGTGGAGAAGTTTTGGCATAGTGTGCGGGTGCGGGTGAGGAGGGCGGTTCGGGTGGACATCTTCGGATTTCTTTTTTTTTTTTTTTTTTTTTTTTTTTGTGTTTTGTTTGTGTTGGGTTGGGGGATTGGGGGGTTTGGTTGGGATGTGGTGGTAATTTGTGGTGATTGTGATTTGGGGTTGTGGTGAGGGGAGTGTTTTCACTATGACGTCGGTGGGCTTGAAACATCATATCAGATCTTATGTTCGGGGCTTTGTTGGATTATTTAAGTGTGAGCAGTCAACGCACTTCGTTAATCATCTATCTACCGGCACTAAATAGTCAAAACGTAATGGTAATGGTAAAAGCTCGTGGGGCTCAACCTGCTTGCCCCCCGAGAATGACGACCTCTTTTAAGCAACCAAACTCCGCGCCGTAGCGTAATCGGACAGACTCGATAAAACAACTATAGAAGATAAGATAAATTGGGGTGGAAAGGATGAATGGAACAGTTAAGTCGGAGAAAGATAGAAAGATAGAAGAGTAAGGGGTGGGGATGAAAGAAGTTACTGCTTCCAGGACTTTCCGCAGTTCAGGCAAGTACAGAACAGAGTCATCGGTTCATCTGCACTGCGCGTCTGCGCCTCGGTGTATGTGACTTTGCGCTGTCCGCACTTGCCGCACTGCAGACTGGTACTGATACTGCGCTCTGCTTGGGCGACCATTGCCTTGTCCATGTTCTCCTTCTGGATCTTTGCGTCCTTCTCGCGCTGTTCGTCCGAGCGTAGCTCGTCGTGGGACATGCGCACGAACTGCTCGGGAGTCACGTCGCTACTGAGCACACGGATGCGGAGAGTCGGATTCGATTTGTTCTTGAGGTTTTGGAATAAACTGCGGATCTTGGTGCGGTACTGCTCTTTGGTCTCGGGACCCAAGGACTTGTATGCTGCGGCCTCCACGGCGGACGCCTTGGAGAGAACATTACGTGGAGCTTCCGTCGAGTTCAGACACAGGCCATCATACATCAGTCCAATGCAACTATCCCGAATCCTATTTCCTGTCTGGTTGACATCCACACCATCTGCCTTCCATGTACGTTTATCCGGGGCAACCGACAATTTGGAAGCCTTGTCGGTAGGTGTCGTACCAGCAGGTGAAGCGGTTCCGTTCTGGGCCGGGCGCGGCGAATTGCTTGAACGCTGGCTGGGCGCGGGTGATCCACTCGCCTTCTGCTTGTTGACTTCAGTCCGCCACCTGGACACGATTTCACTGGATAAGCGGGAGACCTCGGGCGACTTGTGCTGTTTGAACTTGTTGACGATGATTCCCACACGGGTGGACCGCAGCAGATCCTCCGTCGCTTTCACGCCTTGTTGGAGCTCCTTAAGCAAGGACACAATGTTGGCTGCTGGTTCATTCTGAGTGGCGGCCTTCGTCAAGGCCTTCGCCTTGAGCTCAATTTCCTTCGCTTCCAAGGGCATGATGTCAATATGATCTAAACGAGAGGCAGGAGACGTCGAAGGACCTGTCAGATGAAACTCTATGATTAGCGCAAAACGGAGAAAATTCCGGTATAGAGCGACCAGTCCAGCCAGGAGAAGACGATAAATCTCATGAGCTCTAGATTCCAACGAAGGAGACCGCTCATAGGACTGCCAGAAGAGAATATGAAGCTTCCCGAGCTACCCATCTCCTAGAAAAGAAAGGCTGACGTCGCCGGGCGCTGGAGTATGGCGGGACAACCCATGCGCACGTGCCTCTTCAGGAAACTCCATTAATGCGAGATCATGAATCGTCTCCATTTTATGTGTAATAGATGTGCCGTATCAGGCGCCCGGATGGCTTTGGCAGTAACCGACGGCAAGCGACGGTGAATGGGATGCAAGGAAGAGGGGGATTTAACACTCACTCTTCACAAAGTTCACCGTAACGTTCAAGAGCCGGCGCAAGTGGTCGCAAGTTGCGGTTTGAGGTGAGCGAATGCTGAAACACTCCTCAAACACGGTGTCAAACGAGAGGGGGGGATTGAGGAGATGGTATCCAGGATGGAGTGGTAGAGGAAGAAGAGGTGAAAGTCGGAAGTAATTTATGAAGGCTGCGATTCCGCGCGATTCCCATTACTCCACGCCAAGCCTGAATTGCCTATTTCGGACTGGTCGCCTATGGACCTTTAAAGGGCAGAGGGCGGTGGTCTGTGGCAGAATCCCTGCCTTCCCCAGTTGTTTCTCCGGTTCCGATCTATATCAATGGACTGAACTATAGAGTACGACTCAGGCTACCTAGAGTCAACGCCCTCTACAATCAGTCAGTCACGTCTATAGCTGGAAGTCCAGTGGCCTGGCGCATGTGATATTTTGAGTCAGCGGGGGTCAAGCATGTTAGGTATACAGCATGGCATGCCATCACTGTGACGTCCGTTTGGGCAAGAACAGACTGAGATCATACTCACATAGGGACTAGGTAGCAGCCTACCACAAATAGACAGAGCAGTAGTTGCTCTCTGAGTCTCTCCTCTGTGTTTCTGTTCCTCAAGCTCTTCCCAGTATAGCGTATCCAGCTCTCATCCACCTACATATCATTCTCGGGTGCTACAAGCTTCAATCTTCTATTCGTACTTGACTAGCCAAACCCCCATCTCTCTATACCTTCTACAACACAATGAAGATCAACAGCTTTCTCATTGCCCTTCTCCCAGCCGTCCTCGCTCTCCCTCTCCCCACATCAAATAACGGCACTACAAGCCTCTCGGAAAGTCAGGACCTCCAGGCTATCACTGACGAGCTCCTTTTTGGCATCGAGCTGCCCGAATTCACCGCTCGCAGAAAGGAGAACGACCCTCCTCAGTTAGGCTGGTACGATGACGGCTGCACAATGGCTCCCAAGCAATCCGTTTGGATTACCATTCCAGCGGGTATGTGAGCGCCATGACTTCGGTTACCAGAACTACCGAATACAAGGGCGCTTCACCAAAGGCGCAAAAGCGCAGATGGATCTTAGATTCAAAGAAGAGTGCAGTCTCCCTTTCGTTCCCTCCCCTCTCACCTGAAACATGCTTTTCTTGCTTTCTCTAACATTGAATATCGACGGTCTAGATGGCTAACAGGTTTGTTCACTATTTAGTCTCTACCATCAGTGCGAATTAGGACGCGCTGTTGGTTTTTGCAAGAAATTAGCAAGTTTATACTACCGTGCTTCAGGGCCGCATGGTGGTAAAGATCTACGAAGAGAATGGAGTGGAATGACCTTCATTAGGGATATGTACAGAAGACGCCCAGCAAAGGGGAGAATCACCATCTTTGGTTTGAGTGGGAGAAACAGGGACCACTCATTGGACTTTAGTGGCAACGGACGACGAGCTCTAGCCTGTATAATACCAAATAATCTTACTCTAAACAATAACAGATAAACTCGGAAATTGTGCTTTACACGCTGGTCGATGGTTGTATCTATCACAAGCCAGCATGGCCGTCTCAGTATCTATGTCTTGATCACCCTCCAGATGATTAACTTATTCTTTCCTACGTAACATCTCTTGCGTGTAGATTTCATTCTCATTTTTGATTCATTATATACATCACTGGGGCAAAATGTAAGTCGTATGGTTGGAACGGGCCAATGGTTGTCTAATCGAATGTCCCTGAAAAAAATACCAAGATGCGAGCGTGACAATGGGCATGAAGCATAAAACACAGGGCATCAGCCGTATCTAAGCGCGGGTGCAACTCACGGCGGGCGGTGTCAGGGTAACTTCAACTGGCACGTTGATTCGGTCTTTTACGGAGTTCATTGTTGTGGACTCTTTTGACCGTAACCAACGGGCGCATGCCAGCCAGCCCTAGACACATCATTAGACATGACCGCAGCTCCTGCGCGCAAGTAGGTACCGCTGCTGCATCGGGTATATGGGGATGACGGGAGTAGGCGAATGATCGGTCAAGCCAAGACGTGTTTACAGACCAGTCTTTCCCAGAGCCTCGGCAAGTTCGTCAACGTCCTTGTCCTGCTTCTGAGAGACCTTGGCCTCTTCGGCCTGAGCATTGTCTTTCACGAACTTCTCGGCCTTTTCCTCTTCTTCTTCTTCTTCTTCTTCTTCTTCTTCTTCTTCCTCGTCGCTCTCTTCTTCGAGCTCATCCAGCTCGTCCACACCCCACATCTCCTCCGGGTCATCATCCTTGCCATGCTCTTCCTTACGAGCCTCTAGGATCTCGCGCAGCTCATTGACGTTGTCGTCCTCCTCCATAAACTTGTTACCGTTCAACTCAATTCGGCGCAACGAAGGCAGTGCGGTCTTGGTCGCGTGCAAGAACTGTTTAACACCCTCGGCCGTGATATCATTATATTGCAGACGAAGTGTTTCCAACTTCCCATTCTTGGCACCAGCCAAAGCCTGCGCAACCTTAACACCACCACGAGCGGAGAGCAAACAGTCACCGACACCGAGCTCGCGCAAGGAAGCCCAGCCAGGAAGCACCTCAGAGAGAGCAGTAGAGCCCATGATGGTGAAGGTGTTATCCTGCAAGTCTAGGACTTCAAGGCTGCTGGCGTGGCGGAGACCCTCCCTCAACAGCAGGGAAATACCCTCCTGACGAATACCGTTCTGTGTCATCTTCACCGAGCGCATCCCTGCGGCATGCACCTCATATGCACGTGCCCACGCTGCCATACTTCCATTCTCCAGTCTGTTCCGGCCACAGACAATGCTCTCCAGCTGAGGGGCCTCCTTTCCTGCCTTGCGGGCCTCCTCCTTACGCTTCGCGAGCTCCTCCAGTGCTCCAGCAATCTCCACACCTGCATCAGGGCCCATACCGTTATTGTTCAGAATCAGGTGGCGCAAAGGAACGTGGGCAGAGAGGAAGTCGACGAGGGGCTTCGAGGTCCGCTTGCCAAAGGCATTGTCGGAAAGGTTGACGGTGTGAAGCGTCGGGATTTCAAGGAGCGCATTCAAAAGGTGAGTCAACGCGATGGGGATCTCTTCAATCAGACGCGAAGTGAAGATGTCGGCAAGTTCAGCGACTTCGAGGTTCTTCTGGGTGGAAAAGGCGGCACCCAAACGCTCACAGGCTGTCACGCCGAAAGTATTGCCACCAAGACGGATTTCAGTGTAATCGGTGCTCTCGATCAGAGGCGAAATATGGGCTTCAACATCCTCAGCGGTGTCCAGCTTGAGACCTTTGCCTTCAAGAGAAAAGACCTTAGGAGGGGCCATGGCGGGGTAATTTCAGGGGTGGGATTTAGTATCGAAATAAGACAATCTGAGAAGACAACAGGAAAGCAGTGATCAGTATATTGCCTAAGACGACTATACGAAATAAGACCCCAGGAAACGGTATAAAGAGTGTGGAGAAGCAAAACAAGTGTGAAGGAAAGAAGAATAAAAACTTGGAGAAAGTCAAGCGGGATGATATGCACCTGCAATGAAGAACCCAAAATCGCACGCTAAACCCAATCCGATCCATAGCCAAACATGCGATCGTCGCTCCAGGAATCCACAGCAACCAGTGCCGCCATTTGCGCATCACATCATTGCATTAATCAGCATATTTTTCCAATCCAGGTTGCTTCATCTATAATCGTTCGCGATCTCGCTCCTTAACCTACGGACCTTCGAATCCGCATCCCCTCCCATCAACCTCCCAAAAAAAACCCCTCCATCATGTCGTGGCTCTTCGGTTCCAGCAGTAAGTCAACTTCTCCAGAACCTCCGGTTCTCCGCAAGTCCATTCATTAACATGCAAAATCCCCCAGGTTCTACAGAGAAAGCCCCCGAGCCTACCCCGGCCCCTGCCGAGAAGCCAAAAGTACGATTACCATGACGTTCCTCGACTCATCTCCAAACCCGATGCTAATCAAACATTGATACAGCCCTGCTGCGTCTGTAAAACCGAAAAGACCGCCCGTGACGACTGCATGCTCTTCTCGAAATCCGACGACCCACAGCAAGAATGCAAGTCCATGATTGAACAGTACAAGGCCTGTATGGCTGGATACGGATTCAAGGTCTAGATTATTTCTTGCCGGGAATGGGATCAAGTGCACGCAGCTTGGCTTTCACTGCATGGTGTTTTGGGATTCGGGTTTATGCATAGACTGTACATTAGATGTGTATTGCTGTAATGGTTGATGGGAACTCTCCTTTCTTGTGAGATAAATTAGAATGTAAAATATGACTCTTGATCAAAGTTGTGGGGTTTGACTTGTGAATAGTGTTCTGTATTAAAGCTTCATTCTAACCTGCCTCGGCCTTTATGGTGTAGACAGAATATGGTTGGTGTAGGTTGCGCAATAAGTGTTATATACAAATCACAGAGCTATGTGTGGCGCCCTTGAAAAGAAAATGGGTATCTCTCAAATTAACCTCCTGGTCTGGTTTGAATATAGGAAACAAAACGCTTGTGTGTATTATTGGTTCTTTTTCTGCGAATCCTTCTCCACCTTGCGCCCAATCATCCAGCACTGTAAAATCAGCTTCCGTAGGCACCACAAATATGCGAGTCCAAATCCGCCAGCGCCGATAAGCACATTGAGCACCACCCAGAGATCGGGTTTTCCAGGCGGAGCAGGAACAAAGGCTTCTAGCACATGCCACGCGACCATGGCAAGATAGAAGCACAGATGAAGAAGTTTGGTGATAATGTGAGGTTCGGGGAGAGGCGAGGAATCATCTGAAGAGCTTCGGCCACGGTAAACTTCTAGAGAGGCGGGAGGAAGGCCAAGTAGATAGGCCCAGAGGAAGGTCATGACGAAATATGGAACTCGGAGGCCGTCGCGCTGCAGAAGAGGGAACATCGTCCAAGAGCCAAGCATGTTGGCCCACCCCACCCATGCGCGGGTTTCTTTGCTTAAACCTCCATCGCCAGAGAGCATGAGCGTCATGGGCAACAAGGGTAGTAGAACACTCTTCTCATGGACCTGGAAAGAGAACAAGAAAAATCCCCAGGCCACTGTGGACAAGGCTGGAAGAAGAAAGGAGGCACGTGGGTGACGGAAAATTATAGCGCAAGGAATCAAGATAGATGCTAATGTGGCACCCAATGACACTCGTTGGAGCAGAGTCGTCTCGAATCGATGGAGTTTGTAAAAGGTGTGAATGGCGCACCAGGCATTTGCAACCTTGTCTTCGAACAGGCCACGAGCAAAAGGAAAGATTCGGTGAATTATCTGCGTCAGCTGAAGCAAGGGTGCGTAAAGTATCGAGCTCTTGTCCAGCTCGATAGGTAGCGCCTGTAGGAGAGGAGGCAGCGGAATCGAGGACAACTCATTATGAGCATCTACACTGACAGCACTCACTACGAGTGGAGCAATAAGAACGGCAAATGCGACAATCGTAACCAGGGAGATGCAAAGAAGGCGGATGAGCTGAATCCGAGGGAAAACGCAAATTCCCAGAAGAAAAGCGAACATGACGGGCGCGTAGTACAGAGCCATTTGTTTGAACCCCAAGGCACCCACAAAGAAGATGCATGCCCAGAGCATGCGTCCTGCCAAAATCGCATCCAAACTCGCAGCAACAAGCCCCAGCATGACGGTGTTGTACTGAAAATGGCCATGATCGATCAAAATGGTCGACGGCTGCAAAAGGATAGCAACCAGGGCGACAGAGGCAGACCATACGGGTACTCCATGCATTTGCGTATATCGGCGCAGAAAATTGACAACTGCCGGGATGAAAATAAGATACTCGGATACTACCACCGTAGCACGCATGTATACTTTCAGCCGAGGATCCTCGAAGCCACGGGACTCATCCAGAGCAAACCATGAGGGATCAAACAGAGTACCACTACCACCATCAGCATCAATACGGCTATATTTTGCGGCATCAAGTGTTCACGTACATCTTTCCCAATAGCCAGCTATGATATGCAGTCAATGGTGGATAATCAAGCCCCCAGTACTGCAGGTCGTATGTGTACCATTTTGACATGGGTAAATGAACTGTTATCTCCATCCAGTGTCTCTGTGCCTCAAAATCGCCATGCATTGGGGGTATTTGGAAGCCTACATGGGTTAGAAACAAACTTCATTCACCGGGGGATCGTTCCACTTACCAGAGTATCCCCACAAACTAACGGCCCAGCGAAATAGGCCCACGGCCATCAAGATCAGAGGTAGAATGAGCCATTGAGATACGCCTGCTCGAGCAGCCCATAGGAAGGACGCCAAAGGGAACACAGGAGTATGTTTGCCGTTTCCATCGTCCACAATAAGGGCGTTGTTTGACCCGGTGGATGACAAGGGGAACTTTCTCTTCTTCCGTGGACGGTAGGAAGAAGGGGGAGGAGCCATGTTGTCGAGACGAAATATGATTAAGAGTGACCCATTGACTGCGTATCTGTCACGCGAAACCAAGCCGTGGAATGGTTGAGACCAAGGACAAGGTCTGGTGAATCGGATGGAGGAGAAAGAGTCGGGGGCAGAATACGCAGTCGATGGATGCGGCCAGCTCAATGCAATTGTTTGGTCCCGGAGAATGACATACCGTGGGTAAATCTTCACCAATTAAATATCTACTCAATCTCCACTCAATGGAAGTACCTGTGCCATACCTAGACTAGAAGGCGGTCTAGTCAGACCTCATGAACCTCTGACCAGGGCAATGGTTACCTCAGCAAGCTCAGGCGGTCCGCTTCATAAAGCCGCTCTGCTGTCTGACGGTAGTTAACTACTCTATACTAGTCTTGATCTGTTTACCTTCTTCTTCGTTCTTCGGCTTAGTCTTCTAGTATAAACCTACGAATCAGATCATTTTCTATTCATTGGGGTTATAACAATGGATTTATAAAGGGTAGGTTAGGGTTTGCTTCTGAGAGTTCAGGAAAGGAAAGGATTACTAGGCTGGTTGCTCCAAGCTGATTGATATAACGTAACCAGACAGCGAGCGTTCCAGCTCTAAATTCCATATAAATCAACGTTTTTTATAAGTCTATCATCTCTACCACCAAGACTTTTAAAGACTTCAACATTAGATAAAACACTAGGAGTATTGATCAAAATCGATATCCCAGTTTATCCTGCTAATCAACTAGAGTTGGCCTTGGGTTTCTGTCTCTACTAGAAATCCAAGAATGAAAATAAGGCCCAGGCTGAAGCTTAGTTAAGATTGTTATGGGGTGTTGCCAGCAATTCAGATGTCTAGAATTGACCGGGCAGAGGGTTCGGGTTGACCGGGCAATTTTAAAACCACTGCGTGCTCCGGTTGTTGTCATGAATACCCTCGTTCTCTTATGGATTTCCCCATATAACCATGTCAGCACATCGGCTGCAGATAACAGTGACAGATACCCCAGATTGACTTACATCACCGATGATGGCCCAGCAAGCACCACTACCAGTGGACCCATCACCGCCATGAGAGAGCTCAATGTCTACAGGAGAACCGTCGTTTTGAATGAGGAAGCTGCACATAGTCATGTCAGACTCAGAGACCAAAGAGCTTCAGGGGAGGTGAGGAAGGAGGGGACGAAGGCTCTAAAAGCTTACTCGATTCTGATTTCACCCTTGAAGTCGTGAAAATGTTCTCGACCCCAGATAATCTTTATACTTGAGAAGGTGGTGTTGTCCGGTGGGGGTGGGCTGTTGGGATCCTGAACGATGAACGCGGAAGGGTTCAAAAAGCCGATCTCACCCCAGTCCGAGTTGATAACGAGCGTGCACTTGGTTTGGTGGATGGCTGGGTTACCAACAATCCAGTCGAAGGCTTGTTCGATGTCTTCGACACGATTATTCAGCTCGTCATCCATCGCGGCCGCCATGAGTTCCCAAAGACCCCTGGTCTGCAAAGCCATGACCCCCCGGGTCTGTTGAGAAATTTCAACCCATCTTTCGTAATTGCGGTAGACATCTTCAGCGGTGGAATCGGAATAAACCTTGGTCCCGATAATTGTGTCCCCACCCTGACAGGAGCAGGTTTTTTGCATCCATTTCTCGAAAGCCTTATACTGACCGGTTTTCTTGACGGACGCATCGAACCGTCCGCTGGCGGTGAGACCGTTGAATTCGGCCTCGATATCGGCCTTGAAATTGGAATTTACGGAAGAGTCCTCATTAGATGCCCAGAAATTCTACAGCACAAAGAAATGAATCAGCATGTTGAAAACCTCACTGCGCATGAGTGACTCACCAGTTGGAACTGTGACCCGTAAGTTGCGCCAGTAACAACATGGGATCCGAAGGCGCCAAAGAAATCCTTATACTTCCTCACGACATCTGGCCTCGTGGCGTTAAATTCAGCCAATTTTTTCACGTGCCTTGCAATCGCATTGACATCGATTTCTTCGGCGAAGTTTTCGAAACCAACCTCCAGGAGGACTTGGCTGAAGTCGAACATGGAATACTGGTAGCTCGAATGGAAAGTCTTGTTAATGGAGAAACTGGCAGATGCACCGGCAGAGACCGCCATGTATTTGCCAGAAAGAGAGGGATTAGCTTCCAAATCACTGTCAGCTTCAGATCCATTGTAGTAAACGGTCTGGGAAACCATTTTCTGTCAGAAACGAAGATACCAAGGAACTTGGAGGCCATAAACCTACCTTCAGCGTTACTGAAATTTGCAGCAACATCAAATGCTATCCGGTACGGTCCAGGTGACGCCACCATAAGTTTGCGCCGTGCCACCTGACCTGAGATTGATGAAGCACACGGCTCTGAGGAAGTGTTGGGTAACCTGGGGACCGTTAGCCTCTCATTCTCGCTCCTGGGTGACGCTACACACAGTCATAATGTCGATGGGAGTAATTGATGTCAAGTCGAGGCCGAAGCCAAGCCAACACTTGTGGGGGGGGATGAAGCTGTGTTAGCAGACATGTTCAGTTACTCTTTTCCTAGTGAAGAGAGTTGGGTACGTTGCTTGGAGAAGAGGGCTTGCAAGAGAACAAGGCATGAAGGAGCCAAAGTCTTTATAGGATTTCTCAACGAGTCGACAATGCGGCATCATCGTTACATTGGGTATGCATGGATGGTAAGAATCAAATTGTTAGATCGCCATCTGTGTGACAAACTAACTATACTCCGTACAGATCTATAAACTCCACCTTTAGTGCAAAGTCCTGGGCAACCTCTCGTTCGGGTCCTGGGGCTGTAGCTGAGGCCAGAAAAAGTACGCTTCGAAGAGATCGACCCACATGTTGTTTCAGTTGGAATGCATATTCTTCTTTCTATTCGTCCGACCTATACAATAATACTATAGGCGATAGAAGGTCTCGGCCAACTCAACATGCTAGCCCTTCATACCATGATTATACGCTACATCAAAAGTTGACCCCTAGAAACTGTCTTCTAAATCTTCAACTTCCAATGCGGCGACAAAGCCGACATATTTTCCAATAGTAGTTAGGTGAGTAGATGTCCCTCTCATAAAATAAACCAGGCCTCATCTCTCAAAGCTTACCCACAGCTTCACTGTGTATCTTGGAATATTGAACTTGAAGAGATGCCTGGGTCCGATGTTTGAAGTGTTTCGCAACTTTGCTCACTTGCTCTCTGCCTGGCTTTCTTTTTGCTCCACCCTTCATATAGAAGAGCACGTCTGATACTTGATGTTGTTACTTCCTCTTTAAACACGTCACGGATGAATTCAACCATCTCATATAAGTATAAATTAGGCTCCCGAGTAAATGACTGCAAAGAGTCTTAACCATTATCGGGGTAAAGCTTCATGGCCTCCCACCTTTACTTAGGGGTGCTTTCACGCCCCCAAATAAACGTTTGTTGGTACACAGTACGCAGCCTTCTTATTGTACGCTCGCGACAGCCAACAACATCAGTCATCTGAGCCGCTGAGTTCACCGATTGTTATCATCATATCGGCGGCCTCTATCAGCTGGCTATAAGCCTCAAATCAAGGAGAGGGAAAGCCTCCCATCTCACTATTATTCTGATCTGTCGAGAAAATATCGCCCCATAACCTTGTATGCAGCACAGCAAGCTGAGCTACTTGCCTTGCAACTTGGTCTGTACACCTATACCGAAAAATGCTGGTATTTGTTGGCATACCAGTTCGCGCGTGATATATCTCGAAAGATAACAAATTAATATATTGTCGTATATAATCCAACGTAGCCTCCTGCAGCTATTATCTTATACAGATTTTTCCTTATCCAGAGGGTCTGGGCCTGCTGAGATAAGGGTAATAGGGTTTTTTATTTGTGATGCCTCCAACCTGAATAAAAATGCCCAGTCTTATTTGGAAATTCCCTTATAAGCGTTTGTCCATATAGCCATCTGCCTGAATTTTCCGAGTAGAATAAAATATCTGTCAATAACACAATGGGCTCAAAATTCTGACAACCAAGTGATCCACCTGAGAAAATGTTCAAATAATTCTGCCAGATAATTGACTGGCCGCTTACAGGTACAAAGGGACCTCCTTGGTCTGTCCCTGGGTCTGGCAGGCGGTGTGCAGGGATTTCTGCCAGCCCCATTATTTTTTTTTTCCTTGGATTCCGCCCAGGTCCACATCTTATCAGAGCTCCAGCTTTTGAAATTTTCTTCTCCTCCTTCTCTTCCCATCTTCACTTATTATTTATCCTTGCCTTTTTCAATTTCATATCTTTTCACTTAGTAGTATTCCTACCGAGTGAATCTTACCAATCCTCCCCCCGTATTCACTTTCAACAGACATCCTGTGGGCTTAATACAGAGGGCTGTGGGCTGTGGCATATTGCAATTTCTCTTGTGGGATCTGTGGGTTACTCTCGTGGGTTTCATTATACAGTTGCGTATTTCCCGTCCGTCTCTTGTGGGCTTGAACACTGTCGTTGTGGGTTATTTGTGGGTATCTGATTCTCTGAAATCGGGTGATTGAGGGATTGTACGATTTGCCGCACATTTGTGGGATCTATCATTTGACAATCTTTTACTTTGATTTGAACTCCAAGTTTATCATATTTTGGTTTGTATTTCCTTCTCATCCCATAGTCATTTCTTCATGTGAATCAACTAACAATCGACATTGCCAGATTCAAAATGTCCAAGACTAAGTCCGTTTCCAAGAAGGGTGCTGAGAAGCCCGTTGACAAGGCCTTGAGCAAGGTCAAGGACTCTGGTGTCTCCAAGCGTCCCAGTCTCCCAAGGCCAAGAGCAAGCAGATTGCTCGTGAGGTCGCCTCCAAGGGCGAGAAGTCTAAGCGCAAGAAGAAGGAGCCTACCCCCAGCAGCAGCTCTGAGTCTGACAGCGATGAGGAGATGGAGTCTTCCAGCTCCAGCAGCGAGAGTGAGAGTGAGGAGGAGAAGCCTGCCAAGAAGGAGGTGAAGAAGGCCGACAAGAAGAAGGCCGCTGAGTCCTCTTCCGAATCTTCTGAATCGGAGTCCGACTCTGACAGTGACGAAGAGATGGAGGACGCTTCCAGCAGTGAGAGCGAGGAGGAGAAGCCCAAGAAGGAGTCTAAGAAGGAGTCTAAGAAGGAGTCTAAGAAGGCTAAGGACTCCTCCGACTCCGACTCTTCTGAGTCTGAGTCTGAGGACGAGAAGCCCGCTAAGAAGGAGGTCAAGAAGGTTGAGAAGGCTGCTGAGTCTTCCGACTCCTCCGAGTCTGACTCCTCTGATGAGGAAGAAGCTCCCAAGAAGGCTGCTAAGGAGGCTAGTGACAGCGACTCTTCCGAGTCCGAGTCTGAGTCTGACAGCGACGAGGCTCCCAAGAAGGCTGAGAAGGTATGTGGTATTGTCCATATTCTACATCATTTCAGAATGCTAATGGTTCTGCCAGTCTTCCGATTCCAGTGACTCTGACTCCGACTCTTCCGATTCTGAGTCTGAAGACAGCGAAGAGTCTGCCAAGGACTCCAAGAAGCGCAAGGCTGAGGATGACGTCTCTGCCACTCCTAAGAAGACCAAGACTGAAGAGCCTGCTGCCGGCGCATCGGCCAATCTCTTCGTTGGAAACCTCTCCTGGAACGTGGATGAGGCCTGGCTCCAGAGTGAGTTCGAGGAATTTGGTGAGCTGTCTGGCGTTCGTATCATGACCGAGCGTGACACTGGCCGCTCTCGCGGGTGAGTATTTTTTTCCATCGAACCCTTCATGGTGCTGTACTAACGCTTCCAGATTCGGTTACGTTGAATACACCAACGCTGTTGACGCCGCTAAGGCTTTCGAGGCCAAGAGGGACACCGAGATCGACGGTCGCAAGATCAACCTTGACTACGCTACTGGACGTCCCGCCAACCGGGACCAGGGTGGATTCCAGGACCGGGCTCAGGCTCGTGCCCGTTCCTTCGGTGATCAGGCCAGCCCCGAGAGCGATACTCTCTTCGTCGGCAACATCCCCTTCAGTGCCAACGAGGACTCTCTGCACGAGGTGTTCGGTCAGAAGGGAGGCATCATGGGCATCCGCCTGCCGACCGACCCTGAGTCGGGCCGCCCCAAGGGCTTCGGATACGTCCAGTTTTCGTCGGTTGAGGAAGCCCGCGAGGCCTTCAACGAGCTGAACGGTGCCGAGATCGATGGCCGCCCGATTCGCCTGGACTTCAGCACTCCCCGTGCCAACAACGGCGGCGGCGGCGGTGGTGGCCGTGGACGTGGCGGCTTTGGCGGACGTGGTGGTGGTGGTCCCCGTGGTGGTGGCCGCGGTGGCCGTGGCGGCTTTGGCGGTCGCGGTGGTGGTCCCCCCAACAAGGCCCGCGGCGGTATCCCCGAGTACAAGGGCACCAAGGTCACCTTCTAATTTCACACGATATGACGAACTGTAGTTTTCTTTAATATCCGTTGAACAGGATTCAGGATTGTTTGTATGATTACGTACAGGTTGTTGCTACTGACTGACTTTGAGCACTCGAAAAGTTCTTGTGGTTTTGCATGGTTATTGTAATTGGATAGAATGAAATAATGGAAGATCGTTATCGATTCATTTAGGAATGTGCTTTCGTGATAGTTTGTGTTCATATAGTGTCGGCCCCCAAGCTGGGAGTAAAAAAGACGTATGAGGGCTTTAGCCTTGGCAAATGCCATTCACGTCAGGTACCTCATGAGTGAGCCTCCCATGGACAGATCCGGTTCTTCTCGTCTTTCTTCCTCTTTCCAGGTTTCTTGTCGCTGGGATCTCCATTTGTCGCATTTCTGGTTTTCTTTGCAGGCTCACTGGCCCTCTGCCGATGTCGGGTGAACGCTGAGTGGCTCCCGGTGGTGATCTGCTGATTGAACTTAAACCAGCACGAGGCAGTCAGGTGTCCATGCATCGACATCATTCCTTATTGCCAGTCCCTTCACCCTGCTTACTTCTACTTCTTCTCAGCCAGTCCTCGTCCTCTCTCATCTTCCCTTCCCACATCTCAACCAACCACCTTGACGTGTCCTCTGTCAAGGTCGTGGTTTTGATGAACTACAATCGTAAACTGATTGTGGTGTCCCCCTCCTGATAAGATAATCAACCGCAAATAAACTCATCCATCAATCCACTTAACTTGGCTTTCCCCACGCACTTCCCCCCACTTTCATACACTCAACCCCCTTCCTGGGTTTCTGGTCAGTCTACCATTCTTGACCGCTTCGGACGGTTCCCTTACAGCCACAGGTGGTCTGATTATGTGGATGTGATATTGATCGGCAACACCCCTCCTTCCCATCCATCTCATCGACTTTATATTATATTTTTGGGGACCCGCCTTCTTCACCACTTTGTTCCCCCCAATACTTCTTAACGACCAGATACACAACACTATGCAACCAAACCACTATGACCTGCTAAGTCAGGTGCAACCAGATGAGCCTCGACGAGCGCCACGAGACGCTCATCATCGGAATCCCTTCCAGTCACGTTCTCCATCCGGTGTCGCTCCCACGAGATCCGAAGGTAAGCACTTCATTCTGCGACAAATATCTGCCTCCTTTACTTCTTTGCCCCCTCTCCTGCAGCCTCCCTGCACGTACAACATGCATATCGTTACACCCCTCATTCCAGGCATCACCGTTTCTGCTATATCAATATGTACTCACTTCAGTATTACATAGACTCGTGGATCGAGGTCGCGTCGCAACCCTCTTCCTCGTCGCTTTCCTCTATTGCTACCAATGATGACATCATCACAACCGGTCTACGTGTCGAGCAACATGGGTCGAGAGCATACCATCATCGTAGTCGGCGACGGCGTCTGCAGCGCCTAGCTGCTGTCACAGCGGCGCAGGTTGACTATTCGTCCCGGGAACAGAGCAGTAGTCAAGACGAGTATGAGGAAAGTGAAAGTGAATCGGACCGCGTTATGACAAGTTCCAATGAAGACATGCCTCAGAGATCCCTTGGAGGCCCGTTATTGGCTCACTCTGGGCCCCCGGCGATGTCAGATAGTCCATCAAGTGACGAGGATGATGCGTCAACAGCGCTGGGGATGCGAATAAGCTCATCCCCGTTTGTCCCCCAGCCAAATGTCTTCTCCCATCCGCCAGCATCTGAAAACCCAGCCTGGACCAGGCCAGTTGAGAGGCGTCGTCCCCAACCTAGCGAAGTATCAAATTCTAGCCGTCAAACGGCCATTCGACGGAACTCTCAAGCCAGCGTAAGACCAGCTCGCAGGCAATCACAACAGCATAGCCCGTACAATATGATTTCGCCATCTTACCAGGCAGACCATGATGCCGCCCTCCGCTCCAGTCTTTCCACCCTTCTTTCCTGTGCGGCCGCTGCACGAGGTCTGCCGAAATCTGACCCGCAACCTACCCCATCCTCGGGGCCTTCTCGAGCACAGCCAGCTTCGTTCAGACTGGTCTCGGAGTCAGTGGCAATGGGAGAGCATATATCTGAAGAAGTGTCCGCATCGGCTGTCGAGACTAACACATCTAGGCGGCCCATGAGCCATAACCCACCAGTGGCTACTTATTCGCCACGCTCTTCTCCCTCCGCTCCGAAGGTGAGACGGCGGTCTAGTTCCCCTAGAGAACACCACGCCTCGGCACCTAGGAAGAGTCGTCGAGCAACCACCCCAGACTCGGCAGCTAGTCCTACGATCATGACATGGGTTATCAGCGCTGGTGTCGTGGTTCTCTTCTCAGCAATCAGCTTCTCAGCAGGTTATGTGATTGGCCGTGAGGTTGGAAGGATGGAGGCAAGCACAGGGGTCGGGTCCGTCATGGGTGATGGCAATTTTTCTGGTGGCAGAACGTCCGCGGCTTGTGGTCAAGAGGCCATCAAGGGAGGCCTGAAGCGGCTCCGATGGAGCTCTGGAGCTGCCGGATCAGGGGTCATTGCATGAACTGCTTCGTATGAGGACGACAAAGATGGACCCAAAAGTATCATGAGCCGAACGGGCGTTAGTTACGATTTTACATTGGTATGGTGTGATGAGAACTTTGGTGCAGATATTTTATTCCCACCATTCTTTATATGTCTCTCTTTTGTTTGGCGTTCCCTATACTATACTTTCCTTAGTCCTTTCGGTGTTGTTTGCATAGCAACCTCTTTTGGTTATATCCGAGTGATGTATGGGCTGTCTGGGATGCCTTGAAAAGTTCCTGGCCGAGCTGTTCTTCTTCCCTTCGGTGTGGTTGTTGAATCTTTGGCGTTGTGTTTTATTTGCGTTATAAGTTTCTCATGTGTCTTGCAATCTATACCCCTTTCCCTTCATCCCACATGGACATAATAGTCCTTAGAAATGAATGCAGTTAACTAAAGTCCGTAGCTCCCACCAATGAGACACGTTTGGCTCCTCCGACGTAAAAGTAACATGGACTTCATTCATTCCTGAGCTTTCGGGTTATCTGGAAATGTTAACAATGGGAGACTGACTCTTTGAAACTGCTAAGTAAAATATGGCAGGATGTCTTGACGTTAGCCTGTGGTATAGGGCTCTAAGCATATACGATACATATGAAGCAAATTATAATTCCCGGTAAGCAGCTAAGTAGGTATGTAGGTAGCTTAAATAGTCATCTGATTTTGGAAGGATTACTCGTCATGATACAACCACTACCCTTTTCTATACATTTCCACTTTTCAATTTATTCTCGCCGTAAATCACCTCGACAAGGCAATGTCGTCAATTCTCATGATCATCTTAACGGTCTCGGCGGCAAGCTCAATCGCGCTGGTGCTCACCAGGAGAGGTTGCAGGATATTCTCCTCAGTGATATCGTCCTTCACACCGCCGCTGCGGATGCTGACACCGGCGTTGTGCTGGCCTTGGGCGTGACGGTGACGCAAGTCGGTAACCACCTTGATCGAGTTGAGACCGGCGTTCTCAGCCAGCGTAGTGGGGATGATTTCCATCGCATCCGCAAAGGCCTTCCAGCAGATAGCCTCGGTGCCGGTGAGCTCACGAGCACGCTTTGCGAGGGCCTGGGCGACTTCGATTTCAGGTGCTCCACCACCGGCAATAAGGGCGCGCTTCTTGACCAGACAGCGGATGACACAGAGGGCGTCATGCAGGGAACGCTCCGCCTCGTCCAGGATGAGGTTGTTGGCACCGCGAGCGACGATCGACACGGTTTGGTTGGTGGTAGGGGCCGACTTGATACCGGTGATCTTCACATAGCGGGCCCCGGAGGACTGAACCTCTTCCACGAGGTCTGCAGTGCCCAGCTTGTCCTCAGTGAAAGAGTCAACGTTGGCGACGGGCTTGCAGCCAAGACTCTTGCACAGGAACTCAACTTCATCACGCTCGATGTCCTTGATGGCAAGGATCTTCAGACGAGAGAGGAAGTGGAGGGAGAGGTCGTTCACGGCATCACGGAGAATGGATTTCTGAATGAGGAGGACGTTACACTTCGTCTTCTGGATCTTCTTAACCATGTTGAGAAGGTATTGACGCTCCTCCTTGAGGATCTTGTCCATCTGGCGGTAGTCGTTCACGACAATCTGGTTTTCCATCTGCATTTCATCTCCGTCAGCAATGCATACAACATACAACATTTTGAAGAGAATCAACCCACATCAGGCTTAGGCGGGCTAAGCTGGAACTGGATCAGACCTATCCGGGCCTTCTCGATTCTTGTGGGACCGCCACTGCTCTTGATAACGGACTGGTTCAACACCAAACCATCCACCATCTCACTGTCTTCAATCGTGCCGCCAACCTTCTTAACGATCCGGATATTCCTAAGGTCAACATTCTCAGCAGTCTTAGGATCTACGACCTTCAGTACCGAGTCGACGGCCATAGGGCCAAGGAGGCCAGAATGCTGCGAGACGATCTTCGATGAAAGAGACGTAGAGGCCGCCTGGAGGAGAGTGGAGCGGTCAACCAGGCTAATCGGGCGGGACATGCTGTGAAGGATCTCGACGGCTGCAGCTGCAGCTCTTTGGAACGACTCCGAGATGACGGTGGGGTGAATGCCCTTGGACAAGAGACGGTCTGCGGCACCGAGCAAGCTTCCTGCGATCACAACAACCGATGTTGTTCCGTCTCCAGCCTCAACATCCTGAGCGGCACTCAGGTCAACGAGCATCCGGGCTGCGGGATGCATAACGCTCATATCCTTCAACATAGTGTTTCCATCGTTGGTCTGCGGGGGTTAGCATAGATTTGCAGGCTCGGGAGTAGGATCCGTACGATAATCGTGTTGCCCTTGGGTGTTTGGATCTAGAATCGTATTAGCCACACATCCTTAGAGAGAAAGAGATAACGAAAGTCGTACCATCTTATCCATTCCTCTGGGTCCCAAAGACTAATTGATATGTTAGCCCCTCATTTGGAATGCATACTATTGCAACATCCATACCGTTCTGATGGCATCGGCGACAGCTGTTTTCATGTCAGCATCATACTCCCCAGACTTTAACATCATGAGCAATACCTCTAGCGGCCAGAATGTTGGCCGTCCGCACTGCCATAGGCTTCTCCTTGTCCTGCCCGACTATTAGAACCCGTCCCACGCCAAGTATTTCTCTCTGCGACACGGACGCACCTTGAAGGTGTTGTTGCCAGCGGCCCCCTGAGAGACTGCCGTAGCCATTTTGAAAGTTGTCTCTTATCCAAACACCGTACCGAAAATTGAATAGAAGAGGAAAGATGGGGGGTAATGTGACGAAGGAGATCCAGACCGTGGAGGCGGCTCTGGGAATTTCTTGTGCTGGTGTTGGGCTTGGCACCACTAGCGCCAACAGCTCGAACCGACCGCCGCAGCAACCTGGAGCTCACACCTGATTACTTCACTCTCTCTCCTCCTTCCGATCAAGCTCTCATCTCCCATCTATCGTGTTTTTTTCCTTTTTCTTTATTCCTTCACGCTACCTTCACGTATACCACCGACTCTTGTTCTCTTACGCCCCGTTTCCTTAACACTCGATACACCCTCCGCTGTCTTATCGCCTCCATAGCCACTACCTCTCACCATGCCTAGCGCCACGGGAGAGAACTGGGAGAAGTACAAGAAGAACTTCGCCGATGACGAAGAGCCGGAGAAGAAGATCACCCCTCTCACAGAATCGTGAGTGATCCGATGGCTCCGTTCAGAGGGTTGAGGATAGATGGCTAACCATCTCTAGTGATATCCAAGTGCTGAAGACATATGGCGCCGCTCCCTACGCGAACGCCTTAAAGGAACTCGAGAAGCAGATTAAAGATAAGCAAGCAAGCGTAAACGAGAAGATCGGTGTCAAGGTATTTCGACCGAACTGAATCGGCGTGAACATGCCACCTGACATGTATAGGAATCCGACACTGGTCTTGCACCTCCACACCTTTGGGATGTTGCTGCAGATAGGCAACGCATGGCAGAAGAGCAACCGTTGCAGGTAGCCCGCTGTACAAAGATTATTCAAGATGAGAAGGACTCGGACAAGAGCAAATATGTCATCAATGTTAAGCAAATCGCCAAGTTCGTTGTCAACCTAGGGGAGAGAGTGAGCCCTACGGATATTGAGGAGGGCATGCGGGTTGGGTAAGCTTGTCGGCTTTGCTATTTCCCGTTCTAGATCTAACTCTGCATCTAGTGTCGACCGGAATAAGTACCAGATTATGTTGCCTCTGCCTCCCAAGATCGACCCTAGCGTAACAATGATGACCGTTGAAGATAAACCCGATGTGACATACGGAGATGTTGGTGGTTGCAAAGAACAGATCGAGAAGTTGCGAGAAGTCGTCGAGATGCCCCTCCTTTCCCCGGAGCGTTTTGTCAATCTTGGTATCGATCCACCAAAGGGTGCACTTTTGTACGGACCTCCCGGTACTGGTAAGACTCTTTGCGCTCGAGCTGTGGCCAACCGAACCGATGCTACTTTTATTCGTGTCATTGGTAGTGAGCTGGTTCAGAAGTATGTTGGTGAAGGTGCCCGGATGGTTCGAGAGCTTTTCGAGATGGCAAGGACAAAGAAGGCGTGCATTATTTTCTTCGATGAAATCGATGCCGTGGGTGGTGCACGTTTCGACGATGGAGCTGGCGGCGACAATGAAGTTCAACGTACCATGTTGGAACTGATCACTCAACTCGACGGTTTCGATGCCCGTGGTAATATCAAGGTCATGTTCGCGACAAACCGGCCGTCGACGCTAGACCCTGCCCTGATGCGTCCTGGGCGAATTGATCGCAAGATCGAGTTCTCGCTTCCGGATGTAGAGGGTCGTGCTAACATTCTTCGAATTCATGCCAAGAGCATGTCGGTGGAGAGGGACATTCGGTGGGAGTTGATCTCTCGGCTGTGCCCGAATGCTACAGGAGCTGAGCTCCGGAGTGTTGCAACAGAAGCCGGTATGTTCGCGATCCGGGCGCGACGAAAGGTTGCCACGGAGAAGGACTTCTTGGCGGCTGTGGACAAGGTGATCAAGGGCAACCTGAAGTTCAACTCGACGGCTACGTACATGCAGTATAATTAGATAACGCCTTTCTTCCCTCTACATCGTGGGCTACATTGCATGGTTGAATGGTTGTGTATGATCAATTTTTTTTAGCTAGTGGTTCATTCTACGAATGTTCTCATAATAGGAACTCACATATAGATGTGATCCGAGCTTCACTAACCTGCGAAAGCGAAGAGTAGCGGGTGGCCGTATATCCCTGCTGGCCCTCTTGCAGCCAGCGGAATATCACATGACTGTACCGGGTAATCGATTATCTCAGCAATGGATAGTCAACATTGTGTCATTCAGATAGTAACACGATCTAGCACACCAGAAGAGAAATGCCGTAGGTGTCCCGCCAACCTAAAGGTTGAAAAAGGCAATTGAAATTGAACGCTTCCCCATCCAAGTTAGGACCAGCTACTCTCCATTGTACCGCCTGTCTCCGGGATTCCTCGCTGCTGCCGGGTTAAAAGAAGACCGGCCACGTGCCTTGACACTCTCGACCAATGAGAAAACGCCGGCTGCCCGAGGTGATTACCACTGCGTGTATTCTTATTGGCAGTCTCGGCCCCGGTCCTCCCCGTCGGCAAGTGAGAAAAGGCTTATGTCAGCCAGGAATTCGGCCCAGCAGAACCGACGATCCAAAAGTGCAGCTTTGCGAGCACCACCACCACCGTTGACTTCAAGACTCTCCTCTCCCTATCTCTGTGCTGCTTCCTTCTCCCCTCTCCCCCCCCTCCTCCCTTCTTAATTACACCCTTTCTTCGGCTCATTAGAGAAGTGTTTCTTTTCTTTTGATCCGTCATCATGAGCTCCCTGAGCTTGCGGAGCCTAGCTCCCGCATCCAAGGTCAGTTAGCCGACGGTCTCTTCAGGACCCTTAAGCGCATTTGTCCCTCTGTTTACATATACTAACATAGCGGATTGCGCAGATTTCCCGTGCCTTGAGGGATCAGAGACGTCTTTTCTCCTCGACCCGGCCCGCAGGTACGCATTGGAGGTCGCGAAAATTGTCTCTACGTTCGTTTACTAACTCGTCCTCCGCAAGCCCGGATTTTTGGCAGCAACCCATTGCGCGCTAGGGAAGCCACTGGCGCTATCGCTGAGAAGTACCCCATCATTGTAAGTCTATACATTATGACAACATCAAATGATCTGGGGCTCTGACTGTTTTGACAGGACCACGAGTACGATGCTGTCGTCGTCGGTGCTGGAGGTGCTGGTCTTCGTGCCGCCTTCGGTCTGGCGGAAGCCGGTTTTAACACTGCATGTGTCTCGAAGCTCTTCCCTACAAGAAGCCACACTGTTGCTGCCCAGGGCGGTATCAATGCTGCTCTTGGAAAGTAGGTCATCCCTTGGTGGGCGTATCATTACCACAGTTGCACTAAATTTATACACTACAGCATGCACGAGGACGACTGGAGATGGCACATGTACGACACCGTGAAGGGTTCTGACTGGCTCGGAGACCAGGATGCCATTCACTACATGACCAGAGAAGCCCCCGCTAGTGTTCGTGAGCTTGAGGGCTACGGATGCCCCTTCTCTCGTACCGAGGACGGCCGTATTTACCAGCGTGCCTTCGGTGGTCAGTCCAAGGAATTCGGAAAGGGCGGCCAGGCCTACCGTTGCTGTGCTGCCGCTGATCGTACTGGTCACGCTCTTCTTCACACTCTCTATGGACAGTCCCTGCGCCACAACACCAATTACTTCATTGAATACTTCGCCCTTGACCTGCTGATGGAGAATGGCGAGTGCCGCGGTATCATTGCTTACAACCAGGAGGATGGTACTCTGCACCGTTTCAAGGCTCACCACACCGTCCTGGCCACTGGTGGATACGGACGTGCCTACTTCAGCTGCACTTCCGCCCACACTTGCACTGGTGACGGTATGGCCATGGTTGCCCGTGCTGGTCTTCCCAACCAGGATCTCGAATTCGTCCAGTTCCACCCCACAGGTATCTACGGTGCTGGATGTCTGATCACCGAGGGTTCTCGTGGTGAGGGTGGTTACCTGCTCAACTCCGAGGGTGAGCGTTTCATGGAGCGTTACGCTCCTACCGCCAAGGATCTGGCGTCTCGTGATGTCGTTTCTCGTTCTATGACCTTGGAAATCCGTGAGGGCCGTGGTGTTGGTCCTGAGAAGGATCACATCTACCTTCAGCTGAGCCACTTGCCCGCTGAGCTCTTGCACGAGCGTCTGCCCGGTATCTCCGAAACTGCTTCCATTTTCGCTGGTGTCGACGTGACCAAGCAACCTATTCCCGTCTTGCCCACCGTCCACTATAACATGGGTGGTATTCCTACCAAGTACACCGGTGAAGTCCTGACCCAGGATGAGAACGGTGCCGACAAGGTTGTTCCTGGTCTGTACGCCTGCGGTGAAGCTGCTTGTGTGTCCGTCCACGGTGCCAACCGTCTTGGTGCCAACTCTCTTCTGGATCTGGTCGTTTTCGGTCGCGCTGTTTCTCACCGTGTCCGTGACATTGCCACCCCCGGCAAGCCACACCGTGAGCTGAGCTCCGACGCTGGTGCTGAGTCCATCAAGGACCTCGACTTTGCTCGTACTGCTGACGGCCCCAAGTCCACTTTCGATATCCGTAACGCTATGCAGAAGGCCATGCAGACTGACGTCAGCGTCTTCCGTACTCAGGAGAGTTTGGATGAGGGTGTCGCCAAGGTCACTGAGATTGACCAGTTGTACGACCAGGTCGGTACCAAGGACCGCAGCATGATCTGGAACTCTGACCTCGTGGAAACTCTTGAACTCCGCAACCTTTTGACCTGCGCGTATGTATCACCCTGAAAAGCTTTGGTGAACAATAAAGCTAACCACAGATGATATAGCACCCAAACCGCTGTTGCCGCCGCTAACCGTAAGGAGTCTCGTGGTGCTCACGCCCGTGAGGACTACCCCGACCGTGATGACGAGAACTGGATGAAGCACACTCTCACATGGCAGAAGACCCCTCACGGCAAGATCGACCTGGGCTACCGTGCCGTCGAGCACAACACCCTGGACGAGAAGGAGTGCAAGCCGGTGCCGCCCTTCAAGCGTGTCTACTAAGCGTGTCACGCCAAGAGTGATCCGATGAAGAGGTGTATTTAGAGGGGTCGATTGAGTGGAGGAAAAATAGCGTCACGAAAATCTGGCAGTGTTTATTTCCCGTGTGTTTATATGTGTATATCCAATTTCCCAGGCGATGAGTTCGGTGTACTCACGTTGTATTGTTATTTTATAGCCCTTTATTACCGATCATACAATTGGAGTTTTCTTTTGTGTTGCAAAGCTGTTTTGAACTGAGAGATAGTAGTCTAACCCCCAGTCTTTCCTTCTGGGTCGATTAGGGCTGGCTCAACACCGTGACCTCCCACGCTATTTATCAACATTTTTAGGTTAAGGGACTCTCTTTCTTGACTTTCATACTGACCATATTGTTAGTTTGGTTCAACAACATGCCCAGAAGAGCATTTGATTGGTCAATTGATTTTCGTGGGGATCTCAAGCCGGCTTCTTTATCAGGCCTTAAACAAAGAAGTGAGGAAACAGCCACACCCATATCTGGCATAGAACTGAACGCCGGCCAGGTATCTTCCTGAATACACAAAAAAAAAACATAACAAGTTCCACTCCCGTCCTCAACAGCTCGTGCTCCCGGTGAAACAAAGTCTTTACGGGCCAAATGTACATAGGGATCGATCCGGATTTATCTGATTCAGGAGCTATGGTTCTACCAAAGGTCATCGTATCAGCCGTATCTCAACACCCCCGAAGGGGAACAGCATCTGTGTCTGGGAACTGAGCGTTGTGGACGGTCAGGTTTCGTGCCTGTCCTACACATCTATGCCGATGTCCTGCATGGATAGTAATTGCATTGGACCACATGGGTGTGCCAAGTCGCATAGCAAACAAAGGCGCAGAATCCTGCCCACTACGCACAACGTCTAGCCTTATTAGTCTAGATAGTGTGGATATTATGGGTGCACATTGAGTGACAGTGATCCTGGGGGGCTCAGCTCCTTTCGTGCCCGGGTTTTGAATAATAGACACCCCAGTGCTCCCTGAAAGGCGAGTCAGACGACTCGCCTTAAGAAGTTCTTATTACGTCTGTTCTCTTATGTGGTATTTGGGTTTGGAAACCTTACGGACATATATCGCTTGCTTATATATGGTCTTTATTCCATCCTCGCTATGAGCCGACAGTGCTCCGATAACAAGCAGTGGTATGTCTGCCATAAAGGCCCTTTCCAGGGATGTTGCTCTGTCGACCCATGTTCTGAGGGTGTCTGTCCGGACGATATTGGTGGAATAGTCACCACTACCGGCACATCTACAAAGGTCTATACCGTGACACCTACAAGGTCCATCTCTTCGAAACAGTCCACCTTTGAGACCAGCACTGCTACGACTAGTCGTCTTGAGACCACCAGTTCTCCCGGAACCACAACCGCTTCCACAACCAGCACATCAGGAGCCGGTACCGGTACGAGCGCTGCCGACAACGACAGTGCTGATGCAGAAACCGGCCATGGAACGCCCGTTGGGGCTATCGTAGGAGGGGCGATAGGTGGCATCGCATTTCTCATACTCCTTGCTATTGCCTTGTTTTTTGCCTATCGCAGGCGCAAGAAGCATGTAAGGCGGTTCACCTTTCTTCGCGGTCCTCTCACTGATATCTCTAAGGAGATGACATTTGAAACCGATAACAAACCACCACAGAGTGACTCAACAACTACAGAACAAGTCCTACACGGTACGCAAACCAAACCCCTTGCTATCACTCTTACCCCTGGCATCCATACACAGCAAACTAACCAACGCCCACCAGCACCAACGAAAAAAGAAAAAGCAGAAACAAGCTCCCTCCTCACCCCAACAGACTACTCCACCAACGGAACCACGCCCATCTCACCAACCTCCACCGCAGCCGAACTAGACGCATTCCACCTCTACCCTCCCCAGATCCCATACACCTTATTCACTCACCCGAATGCATCAACCCCCGAGCTCAGCGACACGGGAGTCTACAGCCCCCGCGCCGAACTAGCAGCCCGGCCCGGCCGAGAACTCATAAACATCCCACATTACCAACGCCAGTCTTCGAATCAGTCGAGCTCATCGCAGGGACCGACACGCGCCGAATTGGCAGCTCAGCCTTCCAGGGAGTTGATCAATGTTCCACACCACCGATGTCAGCAACCTGCTACACTCCCCACACCATCACGGGAACAAGTAGACGAGTATATGACACGCGCAAACTCACCTCCGATTATCACCGCCGATGGCGTAGTACTGTCTGCGAACTTTGACACTTCTGCTTCTGGGCCGGATGTTCTCTCCGCTCATGGCTTGTCCAGTTCCCATGCGATGAGTTTTATGGATTATGGCACTGCAAGGAAGTCGATGCTATCGGCGCATCGACCGGAGTGGGCGGATAGTCCTGGAGAAGGGAAGGCTGACAAGCCGAAAGGAGAGAAACATACGAAAGGGCCCGAATGATAGTGATAGTACCGATAATGATGATCGGGCGATCTTGACGACCGGAAGGGAAGTGGATTGAGGTTGGAATTGGATTCATTATGGGATGTTTTACCTTCTCTATAACTTCTCATATTCTCCGTCTAGTTTTCCTTGTGTATGGCGGAGTATGTTTTCTTGTACTTTAGGGTGTTTAACCTTGCGGGGTTCATCTCAGCATGTACTCCGTAGTTCCATCAATATTTCCTTCGCTTACTACATGACCCTGGAGAATGTCTTCTTCTTTCCCCTCGATATTCAGCTCGTCACTCATCAGTACTGTCAATTTCACCGTATAGTTGGCCTCGCCCTAGGAACTGGTTGCCTTTTTGCAGGCTATTAGCCCTTCTCACTGCCTCGTCAGTCCGTCGTCTGCGGTTAAACTCGGATCTACTCTGGAACCAGAAGTCCCTCGCATGATGCACTAGCACTGGCGCTCATTCCTTGTGGGGCTGTAATGCACACAGCACTAATGTCAATGGATGAAACAGTCCCCAGGAATTCACGGATATGAAAGTCTGAGTTGCCATGTCTAGGTCAGTTGCAAAGCACGTAACGAGGATATACATCCCCCCACACGGCTGGCTGACGAAAGACAGTGCTCGCAAGAGGCTAAATACAGATAAGTCACTCCGACTGAGCATCTCCGTTGCAGGAGTTTCCGGCCAATGCCTCTGTTTAAGATGTGTCATTGAAACAAGGGTTTTCTTGACCACCGTAAATCTCTTTGCGGGGTTGGAAAGACGACACGGAAGCACATTCTGAAGGATTGGACACGTATTTTTTTCTACTAATTAGTAAAACGAGGAGAATCTGCAAGGCTACGATCTGCGTCCGATTGGTAGATGGATTCCGGAGTGTTGCGGTCTGCAAAGGCAGGAAGCATATACTACTAGTAGGTAGAGCTTCCTGGCCACAGGAGCGGGAAGTCGCTCTGTATGTTCAGTAGTTTGTCAATTGATCATTGCTCCAGTTTCGAAAATTATAAACGCCTCCAGGAATATCAGGAAGGATGCTGGATAGTTTCGAACCAGTTGTGAGATTTCTCGCACAGTACCAAGGTGATGACTATGTGAAAGGATGGGCCAAGCTGTGGGATAAGGGCGACTGCCTGGACTGGGATAAAGGGTTTCCCAATCCAGCATTAGAAGATACACTGATCCAGCGCCACTCGATCATCGGTGATCCTCTAGTCGAAGATGCTGAGGGAAATCAGCATAGGCGGAAGGCACTGGTTCCTGGATGTGGTCGAGGCGTTGATGTCCTCCTTTTGGCCAGCTTTGGCTATGACGCCTACGGCCTGGAGTATAGTCATTCTGCTGTCGATACCTGCAAAAAGGAGGAATTCGAAACAGGCGGCAGATATCCTCTCAGAAATCTAGAATTCGGAAGAGGTAGCGTCACATTTGTGCAAGGAGACTTCTTCGATGATGCTTGGTTAGACGCCCTGGGTTTAAAGCGAAATGCCTTTGATCTGGTGTACGATCACTCAGTAAGTAGGCCCTTCCGGCCATTGGATTGCACAGTGTCTTGCTCGGAAGGTGGTTAGGAATCAAGTGTGCTCACTTTGCGTTTGGCAGTTTTTCTGTGCCCTGGATCCATCGCTCCGCCCCAGATGGGCTCTGAGACAAACTCAGCTTCTTGTCTCCGACGGCCATCTAGTCTGCCTTGAATACCCGAGGCACAGGAATCCCTCGGAGATGGGACCACCCTGGACTGCATCATCGGAAGATTACTGGAAGCACCTCACGCAGCCAGGAGAGGCTGTATTCAGCTCTAAGGACAGTCCGATTGACAACAGGCTTGTGCGGGTAGCACATTGGAAGCCAGACCGCACACACGAGAACGGAAAGGATGCCAGCGGTAATATTCAGGATCGCGTTGCCATTTGGTGTCGGCGCGACAAGGCTAGGGAAACGGTTTGCAAAGATTGCTGAGGCTAAGCCAGGGTGCTGCTGCCAAAACTCCAAGAAAAGATTGAAAATGTTATATATGTATTAAAATATGTATATACCAGATATCATCTCGCTACTTTTTTTATATGACCCGAAATTGTGAATGACTGCGCACTCACAGCAAGCCCCTCAGAACAGAGGTCTGCTCCAAGACAGCCCGCCGACTGGTGCCGCCGATAGCATCCTTCAGCTCCACTGCGCGCTCATAATCCAGACAGGCGCTCACATCGTCATCGAAGCGGGCATCAACTGTCTTCAGTTGCTCGAGGGAAAGTGTATCCATGGGCACGTTGGTGTTCTCCGCCAGGGCAACAACGCGACCAGAGATGTGGTGACCCTCACGGAAGGGGACGCCCTTGCGAACCAGGTAGTCGGCAATTTCGGTAGCGAGCATTTCCGGGGCCAAGGCAGCCGTCATCTTCTCGGGAATAACTGTAAGAGTCGAGAGCACTCCAGTTGCGATCTGGATGCTGTCGCTAACAGTCTTGATGTGGTCGAGAAGGGGTTCAATGCTCTCCTGCAAATCCTTGTTGTAGGTAGTGGGAAGACCCTTGATCGTCATCATCAGACCGGCCATTTGGCCAAAGGCTCGACCGGCCTTTCCGCGCAGAAGCTCCAGGCTGTCTGTTTTTTTGTTAGCGATCACTTTGTTTGATGAGACATGAGGAGCAAAGGGCATTGGACTCACCTGCATTCTTTTTCTGAGGCATCAAGGATGAACCGGTGGAGTAAGCATCGGACAAGCGGACAAAGCCGAATTCCAAGCTGCTATAGATGATAAGATCCTCAGCCCAGCGAGAGATCTTGAGCATAAATGAGCTACCCCACTGCATTGTCTCCATGGCGAAGTCACGATCAGCGACAGTGTTCATTGAGTTGTACAGCAGGCCTTCGAAGCCCAGCTCCTTGGCCATTGCCTCACGGTCAATGTTGAAAGGGTTGCCTGCAAGGGCACCGGTACCGAGGGGACTACGGTTGACACGCTTAGTGACTTCACGCAGGCGCTGCAGCTCGCTGGCAAAAGCCGTGGCGTGCGACAAAATCCAATGGCTCCACCGGACTGGCTGGGCCTTTTGCAAATGGGTATAACCTGGCATGAGGTAGTCGAGCTCAGCCTCTGCACGAGAAATCGAGACCTTGATGAGGTCGCACAGGATACTATCCAGCCTGCGCAGCTCATCCCGCAACCACAACCGCATGTCAGTCGCAACTTGTTCGTTGCGGGACCGACCGGTGTGCAGCTTGCCTCCAATCTCCTTGCCAATGATTTCTGATAGTCGACGCTCATTTGCAGTGTGGATATCTTCATCGTTCTCCTTGACGGCGAAGGTATTGGTGCTCCATTCCTCGGCGATCTGCTTGAAGCCACGCTCAATCTCGGAGAACTCTTGCTCCGTGAGGATACCGGTCTTCACGTTGGCTCGGGCAAAAGCAATGGAGCCGGCAATATCTTGTTTCCAAAAGATGCGGTCATAGGGAAGGGACTGGTTGTACTGAACCATGAGGGGGTCGAGGCCCTCTGAATGACACTCGGCATTAGTATCTCAAACCAGAGTACAGTGGACAGGTAAATAGGAGACCGGGTATACTCACGGGTGAATCGACCTCCCCAGAGCATATTCTCAGCGACAGCTTTAGGACCGCTCATTTTGTATCTTGGGTGATAGAAGGTTGGGGAAAATTGAAAGAAGGAAAGAAGCAATTGATGGAAACGGGACTTTATCTCGGGAGTTCCTTTAGACGATGATTCATCCAATGATTCACAGCGGGGTTGCGACATCGGGGACCTAGCCCACATCTGGTATGGTGTGTTGGCTATACCCAAAGAGGAAGGTAGCCGTCGAGTCATCCTCGTTACAGGCCCTACAAGAGACTCATGAGCAAACATTCTTGAAAAGAGCATATACTACTAGTATGTAATAGCTTTCACAGACGGTACAAAAACAGGGAGGTGGTGATATAACTACATTGGCTCACCCTTACTCTCATCTACACCTTTCAATCCAAAGAAGCGTCAATTTATCTACATCCTAATAGAGACTTGATCTCGCTAGTAGAAAATATCGCTACAATATATAGTTTCACTACATGTCGCGGCCCGATCGCAGGAGAATAGTAGCCTACCCTATCAAAAACACCACTTGGTGGTGCATCTAGCATCATAGCATGGTATATAATACCTAAGACATTATATATATAAAAATATGTTGTTCTTGCTAGTACGGATAGAATTCTACACACTAACGATACCCAATCTACATGTCGTATTCAACAACAGTCCACGTACATGTCCATCCAATTGCACCGCCCAGCTTTTCCATCACTCGACGACTAGCGATATTGCTTTTCAACACATTGGCGTGGACCCAAGCCTCGCCTTCCTCTCCGTAGTTTCGCCAGATGCCACCCTCGGTCATCCCTTGTCGCATGGCTTCCTTGGAGACATGTAAAGCGAGTCCCTGACCCCGGTACTCTGATTCAACATGCAGGGTTGCCAAGCTGCCATCAATACCCAGAAAGGCCCACGCGATGGGCATTTCTCCGAGTGGAGCCCGATTCTCTGAGCTTTCAGCTGCATCTGAGCTGTCAGACAAATGTGGCTGGAGCTGAGTCTTACGATCGGAGTAAATAGTCACTCCCGGGAGCTTGGTTAAGGTTCCACGTGAGCGTGGAACATTGGTGCGAAACCGTATCAGGTCGTACTGATGTGATTGAACCCCGATTCGGCCTTCTTTGTCGGTGAAGCGAAAGCCATCTGGAAGTGGGGCCGGAGCGCTGTCAGGGCTGCCAAAGCTGTCAGAGCTATCTATGACAAAATCTTGGCCCCCAAATAGGTACTTGACGTATGGAGGATCATCGAAGCGGTGAACCCGAAGGCCTGGGACAGGCTCCGAATGAGTATAGTCCCCCGAGGCACTTAGTAAGGAAAATAGCCCCGTATGTAGATTGCCAATTAGGAAAGCCCGAGGGGGCGGCGCAGGGATCAAACCCGAGTGTTTGGAAGCAGGATCCTGGCCCGGATTGTTGGGAATAAGGGAAGATCCGGTAGATTGGATAGATGACAAATACTCTGGTAGCAGGTAGGTCTTGACATAGGATAGTAGAGCCAATAGTTGTGCACGAGCCAGCTCCAGAGACTCGCGGGAAGCTCGCAGAATGGAGACAAATTCGCATTCAATGACAGGAGACGTCGCCTGGGCTTCGAGGCTCGAGTAGATCACGATCTGTGTTTCGCGACCAGCGAAGAGATCCACATGTGCAGCCAGCCACGGAGAGGTTGGCGCGTCTGCCCCTGAGAATGTAGTCAGAATCTTAGCAGTAGATGAAGGGTACGCTAGACCATGCTGGAGGCGCCGTAGCAACGGGATCGAATAAGGTAACTGGGCCTTCAGCAAAGGAATTAGCGTGTGCGGATCATAGTCGATGATACGAGACGCCGAGGAAAGCCTTGAGGGATCCATCAGAGGCAGGATATGAAAGCGGAGATATTATTAGCTTCAGGGAACTGTATTTCCGGAGCGAAGCGATAGGCTCCATACTTCAAACCGTCCAAGCTCATTACCGGAGTGCCCGTTGATCATTATAAACTGCATTGTAAGCGATTGCGCGAAGGAATGAGTCAATCTATTCATGTTAGTGATTTTACTTCAAATGGTATAGTCAGGAAGGGAGTATTTGTCATGGCAGCTAAGATTATCAACTTGACAGCACCCTATGCCGAAAGCGGGAAGGCGTGGCTCCGGAGCTCCCGTCATGTCGGAGAGACCGACTTGTGGCGGTGCGCACGACCTACACTGCTGTGTAGTTGATCTTCGCGTTCGTCTCTTTTCTTTAATCCTGGCTTAGTCTCGCGTTTTGTTCCCTTCTATTAATTGGACGCTAACCGAGAAATGATGGAGACCCCGTTGACACGTCAAAGGTCAACTACTACAAGAGATTGATTAATCTAAGGATTTACCATTATAAGGGCGTTGTTGGGAAGATTTCCAATGCGCTAATGCACGTCTTTTTGGCCATGTGTCCCAACCTTCCGAGGACTCATGCTGAGAACAATCTAGAAAACCATCCATACAGGTTGGTGCATATGATAGATAATTTTTTCTATATTTTAAAAATTTTTTTTGTTGAAAATTTTATCCAAACCCACCCTGGTCATTCTCATCGACGGAGTACAGAGGATCCCGAGGTTTCAGGATCCGAAGCGGCGCTAAAATGCAATCAATATATATTAAATTTGCACGCTAAAAATAAGCCCGATTTTAGACTAATATTCAACACCAAAAAAAGAAAAAGAAAAAGAAAAAGAAAAATGGAGAAAAGTGATGATATGACAAAAGAAAATAAATGAAGGAATGACAAATATCATCAGGTTCATAGCTCGTCGCTTCATCAGACCGGTTCACCATGGACTTCGCGATCCTACCATCCAATCTTCCATTGCTAGCCACTCACTCCACCGTGATTCGGCGATACGTAGTTCCTCCTCAGTAGCTTCACGAAGGGGCCGGAGAAATGGGGTTTGCTCATCGGGAAGCATGTCATATGCCGCTTTGGTCGATGTCCACCCTCCACTCTTGGCAGTAAACAAGTAGTTGATCCGCTCCTGTTTGCAAACACACCCAACTCCCGCCTGCCAATCATGGCCAAAAAATGTCTGCAAGATTGATGGAGTATCATATCCAGTCACGATGAGACGTCGGATAAATGGCCTTAACGAAGGAGCATTATAGGTTCCTTCCACCCCGGAGTCTATGTTTTGGGGTGTTGGAAACCCGTTGACTGGCGCGGTAGATCGCTGATATGGAAGCCGAATGTTGATAAAAGCGGCCAATGATTGCACCTGAGGCGAGTGTTGTCCTTGGTTGAGAAAATGTTGCATGCAGGCCCAATACCGGGGGTACCATTCATTGAGATCCACTTGAGAGAATTCCGCGTCCACAGGGGGTTCTTCCGTTGGGGTGAGCATCCTCTGATTTGGGCTCATATCGTATCCACAAGGACTTTCGGAGACGCAGACGGCAGGTGCTTGTCCATGTCCATTGCATGCGGAATCCAGATCGATAGATTCTGCCAGGGAACCAGATCTTAGAGAAAGTCCATCATGAGAGTCGCGCAAGCCATTGGGGTGTTTCTTACTAGGGGAGTGATAAGCGATAGATGCCAGGGGAGACGACTCGTGTATTTCCATACATGGAGAACTTTCCCAGCATTCTCTTCCAGAACCCTGAACGTCCATTGCTATGGTTTGCTTGGAGCATGTACGGCAAACGGCAGGAGTTTAAGGTATAAGACGGGAGAGGCCGAAGCGCAATGAAGAACAAAGTCAATGGAGTGTTGATAGTTATATTTTCAAACTGTAGTCTGGGGTATCTGGAGAAGACAGCAAGGGAGAGAGGAAATGGTAGAATTTATGTTTCTTTTACGATGGATCGTCCATGTCGGCCAAAGGGAGAAGCACGGGCACCCCGAAAGACAAATTCGGCGGATATGGAAAGGATAGAGCAAAGAACGACCCAAAATGGGTTCATCTGTGGTATGAACATGGTCGCCATAAGCTTTAGCCCTGGCAGAGTGGAGCTCATATTGAGGATCTGAGGCTATCCCCCATCGTGCTATTGGAAAAAATGGGTCAAGCCACACATAGCTCTAGCCACATATGTCAAGCCACATCAGCCCTAGTACGTGGCTGAGTCGGTCTGGACGTGGCTGTGCTCTCCTAGTCTTAACCGATGCGGAACCCCCTACCTGGCCCTAAGACGCTAAGGCCTCACTAACATACCAACCCTGGTGGTTTAGTCTCGATAGTCTTACTCCATGTAGTAAGCGGATCAATGAGAGCATTGCGGTTGGCGAGTAGTCATCGCTAGACTAATTGATTATTGAGCCCTCTGAACCCGGCGACCTGGAAACCCCGATGACACTAAGGAAAAAGATTTGGAAGAGTTTTCCAACTAGTGAGGGCTGATCCTTGTCGGCTCATCAACAATAGCTCAGCAGCCTCAGCTAGTCAGGTCCAGGACAATGGTTACTAGGGCGTCGTTACGAATGACATTGACAGTTGACAATGGGACTCCATCCATGCGAGGTACGGACCAACGCTCCTACCCAATGTGGGATCAAGCGAAACGCGGTTCCTTGAGTGTCAATGTCAATAGTGGATGCCACAGCCTGGAGCAGATGTGACAGCTCCTTTGTGGACATCCTCTGTTGTGCTGCAGCGGTCAGGAGTCGTTTGCTGTCGTGTCACCAACACATACGTACAGGCATCTCCACACACACACACACAGACACACAAAACACATGGTGTCCGGGTCGCACCCTACATTTGGGGTAGCACAGGAAGTGATAGCGCGTGTGCACTTCCTGATTATCATGTTTTGCTGAGGAAGAGCGTCTTGTACAACGTGGTGAGGGTGAACATGACCTCACCGGACGCAAGGGCGAGACTCAGAGAAGCAAAACGGAGTATGTCGGCCTGTCGATCAAGGCAGACCTCCATTTGTGTCGGGGCAAGTCTAACCCGATTAGTATACCACTACTATTGGTGACCAAGTCAAGTGACTAACGAGAATGAGCTTAGCTGTTCGAGAGGGGAATCCCGATATAGTTTAGAGCAAATTCAGGGACCGAAGTCTGTGTACCTGACGGGTGGGTCGACCGAATGCACCCGAGATTTGTGAGTGGCCGGTCACAAGCACCCCGGTTCCCTGGTAAGCACGCCCTCGTAGATACGAGGTCGGCTAAGGCCGCTACCTACTAGTAATCTAATGACCAAGTGAGTAATTGATTGCGAATGAGTAGTATCATTCCCTGTCATGATTGGCTCTCACCCCTTGAAAGTGGGTCCATCCCCTCATTTTCATTAGCTATCTCGTGAACAGCCTAATGCACTCTTCATGATGAGATCATGACTTTTAATTTTCTTGATCTAATTTCTAAATTCAAATCATTTTAGTTGATTTGACCCATCATGAACACGCGAATTCAGGATCGGAGATGGCGCTAATCAGGGAAAAAAAGAAAATTGTCAAATTGAAATTAGTAGTCTAGCCATGTCAATCGGTGGATTCGATGCCATGCACTCCAACAATCCCCACCCCTGTCAGTGTGTGGCTGACTGCCTCCACGATTGCATTGCTCGTTATAAAGACTTCAAGGCTGCTCTCTTTGTTACCCATCACACTCAACTCAAAGCTAAAACCACTCTGAAGATCCAAGATCAAGATCTATATCAAAGATAAAAAGATCACCACCATCCCTCAACAGACCATTGATCGTTCTACCCAAACTTACGACCTCTCTTCCTTCCTGAACCTTCAATCAAGATGTGCTACAAGACCAATTACGAGCCTTACGTGAGTGCAACCCTCCCCATGACCATTCACGGGAAACAATAGCTAATGAGTCTCACTACAGAGGAGTCAAAGCCTGGATATGAGGGAAGAACTTTCCTCAGAGGAACTTCTCTATCCTCTGGGAGACCTCTATCCACACGTCGTGGCCCTTCAGCTACAATCCGAGGACAATCCATGGTCCAAGAACTTCCCTGGCTACTCAGATGTCAGTTATTGGGCCGAAGTTTCTTCATCACGGCCACCTTCGGAGACTTCTTCGAAGCACACGACATGCAGGTACAGCAGCGGTGAGTCCTCTTTTGTCCTCTAAATGTTACCTGTCACTTTTGCTAATCCCGATGAACTACAGACTCCACAGCCTCCAGATTTGTCACCCGCATTCGGCGACTCCTCAACCGAGATGAGTTGCGCCGACGCTCGAGAGCTTAAACTTGTCTTGACCGAAAGATCTTTGACCTCTCATTTGTCACTTTCTTCACTGCATCGACGATCGATTCGATTTCCATTACATTACTTGCATTTCTATTTTCTATTTTCTGTTGAACCGCAGCAAGCGAATACCCTCCTGTCTAATGTTTCATTTGTGATATTGAAAGCATGCTGAAGATCGCCGAAGATCTTGAACTCTAACTCACCGACTCTCTGTTTTTGTCTCTCTCTCTCTGTGTGTCTCTTCTTCCCCCGCCTCCTCTACCCCTCCCTCTCTCTCCCCCTCTACCTCTCCCTCTTTGTTCTTTTCTTCTGGACTCACACTCATCACTCCTTGTTTGATATATAATGCTCCTTCTCTCTTTCTCTCTTTTTTTCCCTTTTTCTTTTTTCTTTCTTTCTTAGCAATTCAAATTAGCAAGGTGTTCATTGGGCAAGCATATGCAAGGGTGAAACAAGGGCATCAATTATCATCATTAATTCAATGACTTCGCAAATGGGCCATATCGGTGGCACCAACAATTCATACATCATTCAGATCACTCTGTAGCTTCCCGTCTTCCGAGATAAAGAAAGTAAGGCCAAGAGTAGATCGAAGCCACACAATGACTCGCTTTTATACAGTTGTGTACAACAGATCTTGTTAGATTCGGATGTTACTGAGGGATCTTGTCTATTTGTAATGCTGTTCGTATGAATGGTCTTGCCTTCCCGTTCAACAGGTATAATCAAGAGTGTGCATAAAAAAATGCAGTCCAGACTGAGCAATCATCGAACCCCACAGTGTGAAGCTACAATACTACTAGTTCTAGTACACCACAACATAGGGAGTGTAAATTGGTACACTAGGAGCAAAAGAACCCCAGAAAAAGCAGATTAGTAGCAATTACCAAGCCCTTTATTCAACAAGTCAGCTATCAAATAGCCATCAACAACCCAAGCACAACAAAACAGATCACTTCGAACAGCTTGCCACTGTCGGCTCCCTGTAGATCATGACACGAACTGTGGGGATCTCAAACTCCGCCAATATACGCTTAACCTCCTCTACCACCGGGCTCCAGTCTCGTCGATGTTCTCTCTCCACCGCTATCATCACCGTAGGCCGGCTATCTTGACGTGCTTCGTTATCGCTGACTCGATAGCTGCCTACGGATAGAAATCCGGCTGTATCCACGCGGTCCATGATCGCCTTTATAACGTCCGAGTGTTTGCTGAAGATCTCATCTGTCTTCTTGCAAGGAGATAGATAGGGGCGCCATGCGTCATAGATAACGGGGAAGTCGTTGTCCAATTCCGGGGACTCGGTTGCGGACGCGGGTGCTGAGGTGGAGTCTGGATTGTTTGAGGCTTGTTCCATTGTAACGAGGTTGGTGGGTGGTGCTGTGTCTCTGGTTGTCAGTTTTATAGAGCTTAAGACTTGGCATTGAATCAACAACGAAGGGAGATGATGATAATCTCTGTCTTTTAAAAAAAAAAACAAGTCTTATACACCTCTCGAGCAGGAGTGTTTACCTGTGGAGTCAGCAATTTAGCTAGAGTAGTCTGTGTCGCTTAGACGTACTTCGGAGTATATCTCAAAGACAGCAAAAGCGATATGAGCCTGACTCATAACGAGCTAGCAGCTTGGAGGGGACAAGTGCCTTATATAGACAAGGGATGGGGATTATCTCATGATTCTGTAATGGTTCTTTGTTGAGTATCGCGATAAAGAAACCCAAATGGATCTTTGATTGTGAATAAAACCAGCCTTGTCTGCTTTCAGTGAAAGACAATAATCATGATACTAGGACCTGCTTCATGGCTAGCAATGATAACTCCAATATGAGGACATTTATATCCAGTACTTGTTACAAGCGGTGAAACATCTTCAATTAACAATAACAGGCCATTACTTGGAAAACAGTACAGTTCTATGGACAAAATGGCAGCGGAACATAGAGATCCACTCAGTGAAAGATCCAGTGTCTATGGAAGAAGTCTTACAAGAATCGACAGTTAAAAAGGTGAGCGACATCACTTAGCCCCTGAAATAAGGAACAGGGTGAACATAGCAAGCCACATAAGTCTGAGTTCGACCAGCACAAACAATCAAATATAAGATTATTATACTTTCCCCATATGTCGCTCGTCAGTCAACTACTAGTATCGTTAACTACTCCATACATTGGGGGAGTATTATATAATCTATATTTAGAGAACACTAACCAGGCCGGGACTAGTAGGAAGTTTATTGACGGTGGTTTCGCTGGCCTCGAGTTCAAGGTTCTTATCCATCATGATCATGCTAACTGGTTTAAGTCATAAAGCCTCGGATACAAACATTGCCGCCTTATCACTTCAAGTCACCCCAGAAGGCACACGGATTCGATCTCGGGATATACAGGACATGGTCACTATCACTGTACAGTGAACTCCGTCTCGACCAAGGGCGATCTACACCATCAAAAAAAGCGCCCACCCCGGATCTCCGACCGCATCCCCTTGAACCCGCTACCCCGGGAGCCTAAACCAGAGAACCATGGCAAGGTATTCCAACCTCGACCACCATGATTACACCGACGACGACTCTTCGGACGACGGTCTACACTCTTTCAACGATAACAACAACAATGCCCCATCCTACCGTCTTACCAGATACACCCGCCCGTTAATCGACTACGTCCGAAACGAGTGGCAAACCAACCCCAAATATGCCTCCCTTCCCCTAACAAACACCGACACCTCCGACTGCCCTCGCTGGGTCCAGCTCCTCGGCTCCATCGTAACGGCACCCCGCTTCCGCCGGTATGTGGTTGTCTATACGACGGTTCTGGTCTCGTGCTGGGCCGTGTGGAAGTTCATCGTGTCGCCGCGGCTGGAGGAGCATGCGGCGATTCTTCGCGCGCTGGATCCGCAGGTGAAGGAGGAAGTAGGCGGGTGGTTTGGGGCGAATGCGTTACCCAGATTTGATAATATGGTTCAGTTGAGGATGTTGGAGCCGTCGCTGTTGCCTGGGGAGGTGGCATCGGAGTCCGATCCGCATGGCGGGAGGAGGTTGATTTTTATTGGTGATGTGCATGGTTGCAAGGATGAGTGTGCGTATATTTCCTATACCCGTACGCCGCAATATCACTTGCTGAGTGAGTACTGACGTTGTTTTGCCTCGGATTCTACAGTGGAAAGACTACTAGAGGAGACGTCCTTTAACTCGGACACCGACCATCTGATCTTTACCGGCGATCTGATCAACAAGGGTCCCGATAGCGTGGGCGTCGTCGACCTAGCCCGCAACTACTCAGCTTCCTGTGTCCGCGGCAATAACGAAGACAAGGTCCTCAGCCTTCGCCACAACATGATCGCCGCCAACACCATGAGCGACGAATTCCTGGACGACGCGAACATGCACAGGGGAAAGTATACAAAGGAGCGCCGCTTGGCGAGACAGCTCAGCGAAGAACAAGCCGATTGGCTCGATACTTGTCCGGTCGTTCTGAACGTGGGCCAGATCAAGGGTATGGGACAGGTTGTTGTGGCCCATGCGGGATTGGTTCCGGGGGTGGATCTTGATAAACAAGATCCGTATAGTGTCATGAATATGGTGACTGTTGATTTGGATACGCATGTGCCGAGTGCTTCGCGGAAAGGCACGAAGTGGACGAAGGTGAGTTCCCTCTGTTTCTTGCATGTATGCGATCGACGTTACGGTCCAGGGCTAATGAATATACCAGTTATTCAACAAGCATCAGTCACTTTTATCTGATAGCCTCCATGAGACATTCGAAAATCCCGAGTCGATGCTTACGACTGTCATCTACGGCCACGATTCCAGGTCGTCGCTTTCTCTCAAGACCTACACCAAGGGCATCGATACCGGCTGTTTCAAAGGCGAGAAACTGACGGCACTAGTCGTTGGCGACGGGGGAGAGCAGAAGATCGTGCAGGTGAAGTGTAACGACCATACTAAAGAGTAAGGCCTCCTCTGGGGCTTGGCTTCTAAATTTGTGTTTCCGTTCTCCGCTGGCATGGGGAAAGCGTGTGGTTTTGAATATAAAGCATGCTTGGTGTTACGGCGCTTTATGATGAATTTGGGTCACTTTTCGGGCATTGTCATGTTTTGATGGACTTAAGAATACTTGTACCACCCCCACACTAAGTATATACCGGCCCGCTATAGATAGCTCACCTTGGTGAACATCGCCAATGCGGATCATGACAGTATTATATACACTCTATATATACGAAATAATACGAAAGAGTCCTGTAAAAGATAACCCAAGGCTCCTCAGGGCTGTCCAGAACTATTCCACACCCCATCAACCTCCCAAACAACGGGCTTCGTAAAATCCTCATACCAGAGCCCACCAAGCGCATTCATCTTGACATTTCCGAACCGAAAATACTCCGGCTCATCAACCTTAAGCCGCGTCCAATTGAAGGATTCCACAGAGCCATTATCTGACTTGAAAGCCTGAAACCGCTCAACATCATTCACCAACACGCTGATCCCATCCGCATCCTCGGCGATATCCGGAAACTTGAATATGATGTTCTGAGCTGAAGGGATCAACGGAGCCGCGATTACGGGGAGGACACTTCCCAGCTCAGCGCCGTTTAGCAGAGCAGCTGCTGTCTGGAGGATGCTGTCGAAGCCCCATCTTGCGATCCCGTTGATGAACAGGCCGACTAGGAGACCTTGGTATAGGAGACTGGGTCTGGTTTGGATGGTTGTACCGGGGAGGAACAGTAGGCTGAGGATGTAGTGGTGGATTCGGAGGTTCATGTTTGGTACGATGAGAAGGGCGACAATGCCGCAGACCATGATGCCGTATATAGACAGCATTCGGGGGAGTCTGCCCTCGTTGCGAAAGGCGAAGGCTTGGGTTAACACGATGGCGATCAGGAGCGTAACGATGATGATCAGCGCGGGGATGGCGCCTGGTTGCTGTTGGATGTCGTGAGGCGTCAGACGGGAGATGGGAATCTTGTCGAATGTGTCGGTGTTGAGGGCTCCCACCCAACAGGGGCCCAGCCAGAGAACGGTCTTGTCCCAATGGGCATCCAGGTCTTTAAGCGTGTGCCGGACGCAGAAATAGTACATTGCGAATCCGACAAAGGCACAGGGGAGAAATCGGCCCAGTGCAGTGGATACCACCTCGTAGAAATCTGGGGAGTACGGTGGATCAGACGAAAGAGCTACTTGGAAGTAGACGATGAGGTATATAGAAGCGTAGAACGCTGCAGGCGACGTGGTGAATAGTGATAGTATAGCAGATACTACCAGGGAGAAGGTGAACAGTGGCCATCGGAGATCTTGGCAGCTAACGTTGCCCTCGTCGGAAGTCTCGCCGCTACCAAAGGTGAAAGAGAGTGGGAAGTTAGACGGGAAACCTATGCTTGCGATTCCATTCTTCTCGATGGATACAAAGCCGGCGTACTCGCCCGTCCGACGGAGAACGCCGCAACCACCCTTCTGGTCGCTGATGAGTCCAGCGTGCAGGGCTGCAGGGCAAATCGCAGAGTCTCCACGATATATACCAAAGTTGTTACTTTCAGAGCTCTCCGTACCACCTCCGATAACGAGGCTCTTGTAATTGATTTCTTCCGGGCCTACATAGTATGGTTCAAGCACGATCGTGGAGGCACAGCCTGCAGGGCAGCGGAATGCAAACCCTCCTTTATCAAAGGGACGACAGTCATCGCCATTGATTCCACAATTAGTAGCGTTCGACCTGCCATGATGAGTAGATGAGTACACAGAATAAGGCCCAGACCAGGAAAAAATCAGTCGACGTTACCATACCACAGTCCGCCATAACATGGGAGTTTTACAGGTTTTCCATAGCCCGGAATCTCCTGGGCCGAAATGGAATAATGCAAAGTTTCTATAAACACAGCGCCCCAAACACCCAGGCAAAGTAAAAGGAGCCAGACCTTAGCGCTCTTGCTAGGAAAGTAGCGCTCCACGAGCCGACCAGGAGCGGTTTGCCATTGGCGCAGCAAGGGTTAATTAGATACCTGCGCGGCGGTGATGGTCCTTTAATCCAAGCGTAGATCTTAGAGAGAGAGCACGAGGATCGACCCGATTCTTGGTCAGGGCGCAAACGTGGACTTGAGGTTGGCAGTAGCGGTTCGTCGGTGCCCTGAAAATGGTCGTCGGCGTGTACAGAGTCAGTACTTGGCCGTGTGACGATCACAAATGGGCTGTTCCCTGCCGGATCCTCGTGGGCCAGAATATGCATCGGATACTCCTCCGAGACCGGGAAGCGCTTTTCAGGGGAAGAAGACCTGGACCTGGATCCCCCTCTGGGTGTTTGGTCCGAATGCATTTTTGGCAACATAAGCCATGGATGAGTGGGAAGGTGAACCGCGGGAAAGAGAGACTTCTGAAGGAATACCAATTCGGCCCCTTTAAATGAACTTAGTCATCGAATCACTTAACGTGGCTTCAACTCCTTCACGAGTTGGACTTTAGTATAGAATTCGTCCTGGGGACTTTTTGATAAATGTCTCAATCGTCAAGGGGAAGGCGGCAGCTAATTGGTTTTTTAGGTTTAAATTTAGCCCGCGATCCATCCTTAGTACCAGCTAAAGTCGCGCTCTCCAGAAGGCAAACCGCGACCAAAACATCTTAGACACCTGACGAACGAGGCATGCATATACAACACACATTAAGATAAACAGCCAAAGTAGACTTGCATTGCCAACTAAAGATTAAGAATCATGTTCTAAACGTAACGAGCGATAATATTTGCCACCAACATGCCACATGAGCTCATCAACACACCGACGGGGTATCTGTATTAGCATTAATTGTATTTAAAGAGAATCATTAGGTCGTTTTCCGTGTCAATGGTCATGTATCTCGCTGATGGCGAGCCATGAACCTCAAGCGGAACTTAACGCGACTATCACATGTGGCGGCGCTGTATTGCACCAATGCTGAATCACGATGTGAAGTATCGTGTCAGGATCGGGGTATAAAGAGTGTCGTGTGGGTTGATAGATGTCTCTCTTGGAATCACCGGTTTGGTTCTCGCTGATAGCCGGCCATACCCAGGACTGGTCGGGCAGCTGAGAAAACCAAACAATATCGTAAAGTATAGCTTTCCATGCTTAGACAGCGGACCGCTTAAAGAAGCCACGGCGGTTGCTCCTGATTAAAGATAAGTTTCATGTATGTGGCTAGTAACCATGATCGAAAACTTACACGCCGTCACTTGTAGTACCACGGACCCGGAAGGTGAACCAGATACCCTACGAACAGACCCAGTCAGTATACGAGGCTACCGCCATAGAGGCAGAAGTGAGTACTAACCACGATCGCCGAAACAAGCCAGACGCAGGCCGAGATGAAGCTGAATGCCTCTGCAGCTTTCCACCGACCACACACGTCGTTATGAACAATACCGCCCCATGCCCAGATACTTCCGCAGCTAAATTTGTGGATAGCATCGACGAGGATACCGAAGGCAGCGAACCAAGCCAGAGAGATAATGACATCAACTGTTCCAATATGTCAGCTATTGATCTCAATTTCGCTACGGCATAACACGGCGGAGACGTACAGGGCCACGAAAAGAAGCCGAACGAGAAAGGTATCAACCATATCAGGCCCAGTAGAATGGATAGACCGGCGACCACTTCTGTATAGATCCATCGTGCTTGAGGCCAAGCCTCAAGGTCATCCAATGAACCAAGGTAGTAACCGATTATACCGGCGACGATCTAGATTAGATCCTGTTAGTTTTGATTTCTTTTGTCTTTTCCCTCATATTCGCTTCTCCCGTCGATGTGTGTGGGGAACGTACCGCAGCGCAGATGATTTCCACCACGCGGAGAACAATTGACACGAGACGTGAGACGACAGGCATGATGAGAGTGTAATGTTTTGAGTGTCAAGTAGCGGTGTAGATGATGAGGTCAGGGATGCAGGTACAAAATGATGGTGTCTAAGACAGACGTAAGCGGAGTATAGGTCCGATAGGTATCACACTGTTACTCGATAGTCTGCGAGGAAGAGGGTATAAATATGAGAGATCGGCTGCAAGAAGTGAGCAGGGTGGAGGAAGTAACCGGTTTAAATACAAGCTTCTCACCAGACCAGGAAGATCTGCAGCAACTTTTTTTTTCATCTCTTTTTTCTTGGTCCTTGCTCTAACGAATTAATGAAGCTAATTTCTTTTGATCGTCACTCCCAGCGACATGACATAGTTTCTTTTCGATGATTGGCTAATGGGAAGGGCTGCCCAACATCTAGTACTACTGTGTACTACTAGTAGTCTAGGCGTATCTTGCAACCGTCCACTTGTTCTGCTGAGCGGTGGACAACGATACATTTGACTATAGTTGAGGTTGTACAGTATACTCTGACATCACGGTTTACAGGTCCCAAACGTGGCGCAATATACCACCTCTATTGGGGTAATAATTACCGTTCTTTCCTTCCACTTTTTTCAATTTCCGTAACTACCCTCAAAACGCAAGGGAACAACTTCGGAAATCCCGGAAAATCATTACCTTCAACAAATTAGTTGTTAGTAAATCAACAGGGCTAATTGCAAGCTAAGGCTGAAAGGGTACTCCACCATGTCCATCACCAAGCAGAAAACAGCATGTAAACCATACCGCAGCTATCCACTTTACCCACTATCTATCGCACTCTATATCTAGTCTATGCCTGGAAGGGTTCAATAGCTCCATATCCTTACCATGGAAAGAAATTTACATAGAATCTCAAGTTTTGCAACATGGTGTTTTCTCGGGATCCTCCTTCTTATTTTTCTTCCTTCCCTCTTTTATCTTTTCCTGCGTTCAATACTACCAGATGTACGGGACGAACAGACTAAAGGAAGCCTGAAGATTGTGGCTGATGTGACGTCATGCACAGTAATGGTAGCCTGAAGATCATCTGACCGCCACATTGTCGTCGGCCCTACGGATCAGTTCCTTTTTTCTTCTTCTTTCCTCTGTTTTCCGGTTTCCACTTTAATTACTTGAGTGATAGCCTGCCAAGGTTCTAGTTCTCTCAACTTATTTTGTTCCCAGAATTTCAGAGGAATAATAGCGTGTGGTATGATGCAATTACATTGATTATTCCATGTCAATAGTAGTACAGTCTGATGCCCGCATCAACACATAACGAGTATAGAACACAGCGAGTATAGAACACAGTAGTAGAGCAAACTGACTGACATCAAAGAGAGGCAATCAGATATTCTTTCTCCCTTCCAAATGCCATTCCATCACTGTCCGGAATACTCCCTTAGCCCCACTCTCAACCACATCTCCGTGGCAGGGAATCAGCCGATTAAAATCCCACTTATCAATGCGCCGTACTGATTCATTAAACGCCTTCCGGTCGCCACTCGATAGTATATACCACACAAACCTCTTCTGCCATGTTGCAGGCGCATTAGTCGACAGCAACGGGCTGATAATCTTGGTAAGGAGCCCCGAAGTGGCGCTTTCACCTGTCTTCGAATACTGCTCCCTTGCGGGTAGATTAAATAAGAGATCCGCCTCGATGAGCGTGCGCGATCGCTTATGCAGAAACACGAGCTCCCGTGACGGATGTCCGTACACGTATTCGGTCTCAAACTCTGAGTCAAACTCTTCGGAGATTTTCTGCTGGCCATGGTTCTCCTTGCGGAACACGTGTTGGAACGGCGCATCCTTGTATTCAGGATTGGATTGCCGCTTCTCGTAGAGGCCTTCGGGCGCGATTATTTCGGCGTCTGGGTACGCCTCTTTCCACGATGTGATATTGATATGGTGCTCGAGGTCCGGTGCTGCGATGTACTTGAGATGACCGCCTAGACTTGAGACGGCTTCACGGACCTCCGGCGTAAGGGAAACAGGGGAGAACACAGCGATAGCGCCGGATGCCAACTTGACTGTAGGAGGTGTTAGATATTCTTTGCGCAATCTTTGCCGGTTAAGAATCGATTCTTGGCTATGGATACGTACCTAGAGTTCCTCGTCCGCCGAACTTTAAATGTCCAAATCTCGCGAATGGCAAACTCATGGTTATCACGTCCGAAGTCACATTGCGGATTACCATCACCTCGGATGGGTTCTTGGGAAATAGTTGGGGAGCCATGACTGAGGATATACGTTTTCAGGCGACAATGATCAGGAGGTGATTGTCGCGATGGGGAGTTGAGAGACTTATCGAGACTGTGGCCACTACCGGCAAGCAAGATGTTCGTGGGCTCACATGCTCTGAGATGTTCGTTCAGTAATCAATTAATTAATTAAGCACAGGAATCTGGACTTGTGGCTGAAACAGCTTGACAACTGATTGTGACGTCAACATAGCGCGGGGCCCGGCAGGAGGTAGGTTGGTAGCCTAAGGCCATGCAGAAAAGATTCAACTTGCTCCTCCAATCATAGATTTTGGTACCTGGAAAATCTCGACCCAGATTTTGAGCTTACTGAAGAGACAACTTGAAGTTACATACTGCGATACAGATTTGGTCTACACCGCACATGGCCATTAAGTGTTGTCCGGGCATTGCTGGCCGGGCCTGCGGTCTAGAACACTGTGTATCTCTAAGCTAACAGACTGAAGTCTATTTTGCTTTGCTAACCTTACCAACTACTAGTAGTTGTTAACTATTTTTTTTTTTTCTAATTATGAACCATTATGTAATTCCAAGTGTAAATTGTTAACTAATTGGAAACACGTGCACTCAGGCGCATATCTATTTTACGAACCATGCACGAGTCATAAAGACCATTACGGAATAATAGGTTTCATTTGCAATGTCCAAAACAATATGGGTATCATCAGTATCCACGATTAAACAACAGAGGGAAAGATAAGAGATAACAAGAACTAAGGTGTCCGGCTCCAGAGACTGTCGTCAGCAGATTCCTAGCCATACCAGCCGCGCCCAGTGTTCTCATGTTGCTCTTCTTCGCGGTGAGGAATGATGGATTCCTTGATATCGTACACCTCGATTAGGTCCCGCCAGGTTTCAAAATCAAGGCTGAATATAGCCTGGTGTTTCTGAACCCCTTTTCTCTGGGCTTCGCTCGGGGCATACGGCTTTGCAGCATCTGTAACGACCGATGTTAGGTAAAGAAGTCTGACAGAAATCCAGAAGGAGACCTACGTAGAGTTGGCAGTTGCCGACTGTCTACCTGAATACCAACAGTGCCATCTCGAACCAAGAAGCTGACGTAGAACAGATTTTCCACGCTTTGTCCAAACGACCTCGGATTGATGCAGAAATGAAACAGGGGAACACCGCCATCATCTGCAACATGGTGTTGAGCCATTACTTCTTGCACCATCTCGTCTGTGGGCTCTTCCTCCAGTTGCGATAGTAGTCTCTCTACCATGTCCTGGCCAGCATTCTGCGTTTTTGCAAGCAGTTTGTTGATACTGGTACACATGGTGGTAAGGTTAGACGCTTCTTGTCGATCAAGGTCTTCTTCCCGAAGTTCCTGTGGTCGCACTGCTTGTGACGGATCGATACGCTCTCTAGCCCTTCGCTGTGTGAGTTGCCGTGTACGCTTCTGTACCGACAACGGTCCTAGCAAGAACCCCGAGATGGACGGCCGTGCATTATGGCGGAAGCAAGCAGACCGCCCAAGCCAGCCCCAGTTCATTGCATCTCCTTGATCCTCATCGCTATCATTGGGGTCCGCTTGGCTTCGGCCTGAGGCTTGGCCACGACGACGCTGTGTACTCGACATCATAGCTTGGGAATCTTCCGGAGCCCTGCGCATAAAGGATATACACTTAGAGACAAACTCGTCCACATCTATACCTGCAGATGCATCTCCCAAGACTAAATGTGCGGTCTTCTTGTATGAGAGGTCGGCGGCGCTGACCAAGAGACGTGAGTCGATCGTAGCGTCCGAGGTCTGCTTAACTTCTTGAAAGTATTCGTTGGCTTTTTGGATGGTGTCCCGAATGCCATGATTGCCAGGTTGCATATACTCGCTCCTAGAATCTACATCCTCGTCAAGAAGTTGAAATTAAAGTCCTGTACGGTGAGACCCTACCATGTAGCTCCCGCGTCAAGTCCCTGAGTCCCTTCCTGACTCGCCTTCGTTCCTTTTCATCCTGGTCTGGGTCGTAGAATTGTTTAACACGATCCTGTTGCGATGGGGTTATCTGCGACTGAGTGCCGCTCTGAATATTGGACGCTCTATTTGATAATCGCTGGCGCTTTGCATTGGCGCCGGAGGCCATGGTCTGAGCTTGGCTTCTTTTTTCAACACGTGCAGAACTTTGGCGGTTTTCTTTATCGGATGAAGGCTCTGGCGATGAAGATTGACTTGGAAGCCTGCGGCTGTGTGAAATGCGTGCCATGCTTAGTGGCGGGACTGCGACGAAAGTACGCCAAACACAACACGCGACAGGGGTTGGGCCGAAACAATGACAGGCCGGTGAGACAAAGATATAATTCACCAGGAATTATTAGGGAGCTAATGTCACCCGGGTAAGAGGGGTATGGGCAATTGGACCGCTAATAGTGGCCTCACCAGCAATCTCATCATACGTCAAGCGTTATTACTTTTGAACGGTGCTGCGCGCCAAACGCGTTGTGAACGGAGATCACGTGGGATCAGCTGACCCCGCGTCATCCGATAAGTGCTCTTGACTCTTGGCCAATCAATAGGCCGCATTGCCATCTCCCCGGACGGAGCTCTTGCTGCCCTTCTTTCACAGAGATAGATGTAATGAACGACTCCAAGCGTCAATGAGGCCGGATTCGGAATCTCCGAATCAAGATGGAGGCCTTCACATTTGCTGTCTCCACCCAGGTGGACTTTCCGATTCAAATCAAAATGTAAGTGAAGCCGCAAACCTCAACCAGGACCTTGGGGTTGCTTTGTAATGGCAGAGGTTGGGCTCTGAGTCAACTAATTACTCGGCAGTGGCTCTTTGGAAGGGAAGCAAAAAGAGGTCCCCTTTTCTACACTCCTCAAGCGACCGGAATTGCGACACCTCGGTTCCGTGCAGAACCCCACCTCCGATCTGTTCGTCACAGTACAACTATGGTCAGACTCGAAACCACTGGGGGTGCCTTTGCAAACCTCATATAGGACCTTCAAATCAGTCCGCGCTTGGAATGAATGGCTACAGATGCCTATGTCCCTCAAGGATGCCCCGTATAAGTGCCAGCTTGCGATAACCATTTGGGATTTGTCTCCATTTGGAGGCGAGGGTGCGCAAGGCCATTACATCCCATTCGGCGGGACAACAATATCCCTGTTTGATGAAGAAGGTAAATTGAAGATGGGGAGGCAGAAGTGCAAAGTATATCGCCACAAAGCTGCCGATGGTTTCTCTTCCACAACTACCCCTTCTGTCCCATCAACGAAGCGGCGGAAGGCCAATGCTCCTGATCCGTTGGGCCCTTCTCCCGAGGAGATAGAGCTGGAACGAGTAGAGGTTCTGATCAAGAAGCACGAAATGGGGGAGATACCACGCATCGATTGGATGGACCAGATGGTCTTTCGTCAGCTAGAGAAGTTGAAACTTAATGCCGAAGAATCCGCAAGGAAGCGGGCCACCCTTTTAAAGTCGGCGAAGCATAAATCCCGGGGAAACCATGGAGCCGATGGAGATGATTCGGATGAGGGGGATCTTGACGACGAGATCTTCACTTTGTATGTCGAATTTCCACGCTTTGACCACCCCGTCGTCTGGTCTGACCACGAGTATCCTCCGCCCCCGGTCTCGTCATACCCTCACAATGCACCTGCCAATCCTAGCTCTGCGTTGAAACCTGCTCCGGAGGTTCGTTTTGGCCCCGGAATCGAAGGTGCTGATGGAGAGGGTGTGATCAGAATATATGACCCTGAAGTTGGGCAGACAGGCAATCCATGTGAAGACAAACACAGAAGACTCATTCGTAGTCACCGTACCGGCATCATGGACCGAGACCTGAAACCAAATCCAAAGATCCGAGATGAACTAAATGCCATTCTGTCGTACGAGCCAACGCAAGATCTCACTGCCGAGGAAAAGGACCTTGTTTGGCGCTTCAGGTACTATCTAACTCGTGAGAAACGAGCGTTGACCAAGTTTGTTAAGTCGATTAATTGGCGCGATGCCGGTGAATCACATCAAGCGGTGGAAATTCTTCCTAAGTGGACCGAAATCGATGTCGATGATGCTCTGGAGCTCCTTGGGCCAACGTTTGATAACCCAGCAGTCCGTTCTTATGCAGTTGAAAGGCTTCGGAAGGCCGATGATGAAGAGCTTCTCCTTTACCTCCTTCAGCTGGTACAGGCGCTAAAGTACGAGGACAATTCCAACAATGACATAGAGGATGCTGCCCATGATTCGTCACTGGCTAATTTCCTGATCACTCGTGCTGCAAATAATTTTAAGCTCGGAAGTTATTTCCATTGGTATCTAATGGTTGAATGCGATGACACCAGCCCCGGGACCCTATCCACGCAGCGCAGACTCTTCGCTCGGGTAGAATACTATTTCATGGCTGATTTGGAACAAGTGCATCCTGGGCATCGGAAGACGCTGTTACGCCAGGGTGAGCTGGTTGCTGTGCTCTCCAAAATCGCCAAGGACCTCAGGTTTTCGCGAGATAACCGGCCACTGAAGATTGAGAAACTCAAAAAGTACCTGAAAGACCCTAAAAATGAGCTTGTGCACATTGAGCCTCCATTACCGCTGCCCTTAGATCCAGAAATATCAGTCACAGGCTGTTTTCCGGACGAGACCAATGTCTTTAAATCTACCCTGTCTCCTCTCCTCATCACCTTCAAGACATCGGAAGGGCAGAAGTATCCAATCCTGTTCAAAGTCGGCGATGATCTTCGCCAGGACCAGCTCGTAATACAGATAATCATTCTAATGGACCGTCTCCTGCAAAAGGAGAATTTGGATCTTAAACTGACACCCTATCGAATCCTTGCCACCAATGCTACGGCAGGCGCCGTGCAGTTCATCCCATCAGCATCCTTGTCTGCAATCTCAGCCAAGCACAGGTCAGTCCTTGCATATCTCCAAGAAAACAACCCTGATGAGAACGAACCACTTGGTGTCCGAAAGGAGACCATGGATACCTACATAAAATCCTGTGCCGGATACTGCGTGATTACATACCTCCTTGGAGTCGGCGACAGACATCTTGAGAATCTTCTCCTCGCCCCAGATGGCCATTTCTTCCATGCCGACTTCGGTTTCATCCTAGGTCGAGACCCCAAACCATTCGCTCCAATGATGAAGCTATGCAAAGAAATGGTCGAAGGAATGGGCGGCACCACGTCTCCTCATTACCTCCAATTCAAGCAATACTGCTTCACCGCGTACACCACGCTGCGCAAGTCGGCAAACCTTATCCTCAACCTGTTCAGTCTAATGGTCGACGCCAATATCCCCGATATCCGCGTTGAGCCGGATAAGGCGGTACTCAAGGTCAAAGAGAGGTTTCATCTGGAGATGACGGAAGAGGAAGCTATTCGTCATTTTGAGCAACTCATCGGTGACAGCGTGAATGCTATATTCGGTGTGGTTATTGACCGTCTTCATGAGTTTGTTCAGGGTTGGAGAGCATGATGTATTATTGATAACTGGCGAGCGCTCGCTGGAGATTCTATTTACTGCTTTATTCGACTTTGGGCTATTGACACAGGCATTGGCACTATTCATTGTGTGTATTGGGTATTATTAGGAGTCAGGAAATGGGATCGGCGCAGGTCTTGTCTATAGGAGATACCCTAGTCGACTTGGGATAATATTCTTTGTCAACATAACTATTTATAGATCTATTATAGAAAGTTCAAATGACTGAACCCTGTCCGTCTCTATCATTAATCATTCAATGTTCAGCCAAACGACATCATCAACAACCCTTGATCGACCGACCTAATTCCTCGTCTTGTCGCGTTCGATACTCCAGCTCCACCCACTCCTGCCCAGAGTCACTCCTATCCGCAATATCAACTACACCAGGATGAGATGCGGATCTAGATACCACAGCTGGCGTCCCGGAATGCGAACCAGGTGGCATACTTCCGAACTCACCTACCTGCGAGGAAAAGATACCACCTGCTTCGGTGCCCTGGCCGGCACGACCGGTGATATCATCGCCGCTAAGCTCATCCTTCTTTGCTTCCGCATCCTCATCATCCTCAGGAGTACCTTCTCGGCAGGCCCATGCATCGACGAAGCGGAGGACCTCGCGCGGCCACCAGTTTTTCAGTACTAGTAGGCGAAAAGGAACAAGAGCAACGATTATAACGGGAAAGGCAGGAGCACCTCGTGTCAGGGTGACGATGAAGATAGCCACTGTGATGACGATCTGCAGGATAGTGTATAGGTGAATGGGGATGTAGGAGGGACGTGGTGGGGTGCTGTTGTCATTAAGATCGGCATCGCCAGGTTTCTTCGCAAGAGAAGATGGTAAAGACGGGAGTTCAGAGGGCGGAGTAAGCAGGTAAAAGGTTCGGTATAGTATAGGACTGTGATTAGATGAGCTATATCTCCTCTGACAATAAATTTGGAGAGTATGCACTTACTTGACCGACAAGCTCTGCTCACCCATAAACATGAACAGACCGGCAAGAACACTCGTGGGCGTTAAGCGAGGACTTTCATGAAAGGCGGACTGACGAAAAGAAGGATAGCTCCTGCGTGCAAGAAAGTGGACCAGCGCTGTTCGTAAACGCGCTTGACTTCGTGGGTTTCGACTTTCTCTTCACCATCTATAATTACAGTGCGCTGTTCTCGCTCCGAATGCATTAGTGATTCGGAGTGCAGGGGAGCCTGGGGCAAAAGACCGTTGGCGGGTGGGATGCCCAGGATTCCGCAGAGAGCGGTTGTTGTGCCCAGCAGGATGATGTCCCATGCGAAGCCGCCGGGTTTGCGGGTGCCGTATCTGTCGATTGTGCATATGATGGAACTTACTTCGTGGTCGAAAAAGAAGAGGATGGTGATTATAATTCCTGGAACTATGGCGGCGAAGACCCATCCGACAGGTAAGGTCCAGAACTCGACGAAGAATTTGTCACGATCTGGTGATGTCGGTTCGAAGGAGTTGCTGACGGGAAGAGTCATCTTGTCGAGGTGTGCCAATTCGCCGATATGGGGCATGGCGATGAAGATGATGATGGATATTGCGGCGGCGTACTCTGTGAGCCCCATTCGGATGTATCGATGGAATAAAGGCTTCCAACTCTCGGCTGTGGAGAGAAAGATGGCGAGGAGCATGGTTCCGACAGCACCGATTACAGCGTACAAGAAAGCGGCGAATGAGAGAGTGTCGTGTGCTCTTTCAAGCTCCTGGATAGCCTTGTGAAAATAGATGATGCTGTTAAGGAGAGAGAAGATTTCTGTGGCGAATGTTGTTACATAGCGCATAGTCCAGTCGTGTGCATTGATTATGGCTAAAATATAATGCAGCCAGGCCGCATGAATCAAGGACCATGCCATGAAAGGAAGGAAGGGCACCTGTTATTGTTATCAAATACTGTCGAGGTGAAATACAAGTGGCGGGTTCACTTCTGATGGAAATACCTTGAAAACTTCGTCACACAATGCATAGATATTCTCTGCTAACACAGAGAAAGGACCAGTAACACCAAGGATTGTTAGCGGTTGAATAGAGAACCTGAAATCGATTAGCTTGAACGATATTCGTTACTCTCCCAGACATCATACAAAGAGAAGATGATTCCACATAGTCCCGTACTAAACACAACCTCAATCGTTCCCCAAGTCTTGCCAGTCAAGACATACAAGTCACTGGCAAAAGTAATTCCCGGGAGAAGGTTAGTGAAGAATACATATACCGCGCTAGCGAAGATCAATTGGTTGAATATAGTCCAGTCCGAAACATATCGGCGGCGCAGGTTGACGATATCCTGCTTCACCAGTCGAAAAGGACGCAGGGGCCCACCAGCCGATACAGAGCCCCGTAAGACTCGAAATGCCTTTGGCGTATGCTTTGAGGGGGTTATAATGGAATGTGCATCATCTCCTTCCTCAACCCCGGACTCATGAATGCCACGTTGTTCTCGCACATCCCGCCGTCTTGGAGGCCTGTGGCGAAGGGAAGAGGTTCGAGTAGAGCGGGGCCGGAAGGCTGAAATCAAGGACATTTATTGATTTGACACTGGATACAAGAACTGCTATCGCATTCCCAGTTGGTTTATCAAGTGAATTATGAAGGGACTTGCTTCTGTTGTAAAGATTGAGACTTGATAAAGAGTCGGTGGGGACGGTGACGTTGAACGTGAGATACTAGTAAATTTATAGTAACTAGCTGGATTAAATTGATACGTAAGCCAATGAGGGGTGATTTCTTGTCGACTAAAATTGACTTCATGCCAAGCCAAATCAAAATAAATTAACACTCGTATATAGTACCTGTATCGCTAATACATTGCTTCTAACGATATACTAGCGGATGCATTATAGTCCGTAAAAGAAGGGTAACATAGTCAGAATTATTCAAAGGTCAACCATCTTACAGCTTGGCCGAGTCAACAAGTCCCTGCTGCTGCAACCACTCTGTCACAAAAGCGTTGACCTCCGCTGGCTTCTGCCACAGAGCCCAATGCCCTGCCTCGACTTCTTTCACACTGAGATTTGGTACAAAGGGTACCATGGCTTTGGGCATCTCAGAGTTAATCACAAGGTCAGCAAGCGCGTGAACGTAGAGCACGGGGCACTTGATTGAGATCGCCTCTTTGCCCTGGGCCAGGAGGGACTGCTCGTCCGTCCAGCTCTGCTGACGAATACGGTAGTAGTTGCCTGCAAGCCCATTAGCTTTTCACTATTCCTTATAGAATGGAAGTGAATGCTCATACAAGGTCCTTGGAGCCCATTTCTCGAGTACTCCTCCACGTAGTACTGCAGTTCTTCTTCACTAAGCAATCTTGTGTGACCTAGCTTAGTGGCCACCTCGAAGTCGAAACCACTGGTTGAGTCCATGGCAAATTTGCCTTCAGGGGTGGCCCCACCGTACAAGCCATTGAGGAAAGCACGGATACCTTCCTTGTCCTGAGTATGGGACTCAACCACGCCCTCTGCGCTGCCGAATTGCAGTTGGTACCCAACTGTGGGGACGATCTTGGCGAGATCAGCCGTATCGATGTATTTCGGCGATGGAGGGAGATATGGGACAACAAAGAGAATGAGATGGGTGATGAAAGAAGGGTGGTAGAGAGCAAAACGGGAGGCAATCACCGAGCCCCTTACTCTGAGGATTAGATGTGCTCTCATGAAGCATCAAGCCTGGAGAGAGTGAGAACATACCAGTCATGACCGGCGAGAACGATATTCTCGCAGCCGAGTTGCTTTCCAAGTTCGGCCAAATCATCGGCATGCGACTTGTAGGAATAGGCGTCGAGAGAGCCAGTTGGTGCATCCTGGACAAATAAGATTAATAGGAGTCCAGAACAAATAATACGGCGCATCCAGTCACCCGGGACTTACTGATCGTCCGTATCCGATACAGTCAACAGCAACGACGCGGAAGCCAAATTTGAGAAAGAGAGGAATCTGGTATCTCCAGCCCATGGACAAATCTGGGAAACCGTGAATCTGTATTGCACGGGTTAGCTACCGGTGGTCCCATTGGTCCAGTTCAATGGCATACCAAGAAGACCGTGCGAGTAAAGCCGCCCTCAGGCTCGGCGAGGAGATATCCTATCCAACCAAGTTAGTGAGGTCTTCTCCGGACGTCAGGAGAAGCAAGAGGCCACACCGTATGTCTTGCCATTGATGGTGGCAGAACAGCGACGGATCCGAGGGTCGTTGACGACGTTGATTTTGTCCAGGGCAGTAGAGGAAGACATGCTGCTGCGATCGAGGGATGTCACACTATAACAATCGGAAATGGCTCACGAGGGGTTCGGCTGCATTAAGTAGTGAAATCCGCCTCCGCGGGCTCCATGAGAAGGTACCATCATTCGCACAACGGCCATCGTTTCAAGAGTGGATCTAGTATGATCTGAACCTTCTTTCTTTGCAATGAATTATGTTTATGTGATCTTATGTGTTCTGTTAAAAGTGGGGCATTGCAGCGAAGTGGATCATCACAGTAGGTAGATATCATGATTAGTGATGTGAACATCTCCGAGATCAACTCCGTGGCAGACGCTCAGATGGTGATTTGCAATGGATGACTGGGAGCCAGTATTGCATTCCTGGGCCCGGGCGAGTTAGTCCGACTCCTAGAATACCCAATGGTAAGAACAGGGGTCTGTAGGGATTGATGTCGAGTTGGGGTAAATAATAAGCCGAGGTATTTTCCAGAATCCTTTAAAAAAAACGCTTCCCGAGTACGTAGTCTTAAGTCACTTCAACCTAGGCAACGTACCACTCTTCCCGAACGGTACATATCCTATTTGAAGAGCGTCTACTACTACCTATATGTGCATAAATTTATCCCTTGCAGCTGTCGCCAATGACCCACCATGCAGCATAACTCCTCCGACAAGTAAAGATCTCAGACCAGGCCAGACTCCTCCGTCCTACTTAACCATTCTATATACAGATATCATGAGATGAATTCTCTGTATGGAGTCGGAGCTATATGTCCTTCGAGCTGACGCCACATTTCACACACATAACAACATGAACAACATCAAGCTATAGCAGACCTTTATTCTGACTTGGTCTTTCTTGTGTTGAAGATCCAGACATAGACGAATGGGTAAAGGGTTTCCGGAATGAGAGTCAATACAATGGTCCAAATACTCCAAGCTGACCCCACATACGCCCAGTTTTGGGGGACGTTTAGATAGCGCCAGAAAAAGACGCCATATGCTGTGAAACAACCCAGATATCGAGTAAGCCTGAGGTATTCAGTAAAAGATCTCTACGCTACCATGTTCAGGAAGGGCACATACCACATTTCAAGGGAATGACCGCTCGTGTCATGGTTCTTCCACAGGCTGTACAGGCACAGCCAACCAATGGGAAATTGCAGAATGATGCCAGTCCAGTACGCCGTGATCTGTTCTCGCTCATCGGGGTAAACCTTGGCTAACCACCAGAGGAACAATACCCCAGCTACAACGCCGCAGATCATATTCCGAGAAAGCCGCTTTCTTTGGTCCGGACTGTGGGCATGCTGAATTGCGATTGCTGTGAAACCGAGGTCGAATTCAAACCAAACAAGAAAAGCAAGCTTCTCGAACCATGTAGACGTTGTGGTAAATGCATAGTATATCTCATACGCCATGGTCAAGCAGCTGGGGCAACGTTTTAGGATACATACTCTCACGTCTATGATAGTTTATGACTTACAGGTATTGTATGCCCCCGTAACTCGCTCCTGGATATGTCTTGTCTCTGTATGTTCGAAGCATACAAAAGAAGTAGCACATAGCATATAGCACCCCGCACGCCACGATAAGTCCGTCCTGAACGAAGAGATAACTTTCCGGAGGATCATGTTGGAGATCAGCGGGTTGAACGATAAGATGCCCAACTCGGTGGGCTAGCTTGAAATCCGACATTACGAGACGTTCTAAAACTCGACGATGCTAACCTTCACTACAAGTGCACCGAGATCTATGTTAAGGTTTGACAATATGGAGTGACATCAACGTTTAGATATACTTTTTTTTTTTCATGCTGTGGCAGTGAGAGCCCAGTGGAGCGCAAAACGTGGAATGACGTCAGCTCCACGGCCTTCTGGACCAGTTGGATAGTGCCGGATAGTTTTCTCGGACAACTTGGTGAACACCCTACCTCATCTTACGTGGATTCGGTGTATTCGGTGGTCACTTTGGACTTGGTATTGGAGCCTACTACCCCTCTAGCCTCTGCTAGATACCTGAGGCATCTACTAGTTCAAGCCAGCTCAATACTAGCCAATCATGCTACGGTAAGTAAATAGTAAAGCAACAATACCGCCTCCCTCACCGCCCGTTCATCTTAGACATATTGCCAGGAATGATATCAAACTGTCTTGTTTCTCTCAACGGTTTCTATTTCGCAATTGACCCTGAATAATGTGTGAAAAAACAGCTTGTACACAATCATATCACCCAACTGCTAATAAAATCTATCAGACTATTGTAGGATGGCAGCCAAATTTATTCCCCGACAGACCTTCCCCAGTTATACGTCCATCCCAAGGTCGTATTTCCTGGGTCACCATCGGGCAGGTCTGAAAAAGATGCAGAATATGCTCTCCTCCATTGACTACGTTGTTGAGTGCCGCGATTATAGAGTACCAGTTACATCTATCAATCCCATGTTTGAAGAAGCCTTGGGGAAAACCAGACGATTAATAGTATATACAAAGAGGGATCTAGGTGCGGAATCAGGGTCACCAGCCCAACAACAGGTACGTTCAAACTCTAAATGGTCCAGGTATACAATACATAGGGTTATACTTATGCTGCCGCTTTTTATATAGGCAGAGAAAAGAGTCCAGAATTTCGATAAGAATAGCGCTGTGTTCTTTGTTAGTTCCTCGTCCCGCCCGGATGTGAGTTCTATATTGAAGCATTTACGAAATGATGCCGAAGGACCCGACAAACTCGTGGGATGTCGAGTCATGGTTGTCGGAATGCCAAATGTCGGCAAATCGACGTTAATCAATAATCTACGAAATCAGGGTGTGCGCAAAGCTAAGGCTGCGCAGACAGGCGGCCAACCTGGTATTACAAGGAAAATCGGAACTCCCATCAAGATCATAGAGAGAGAGAACGGCTCTCATGTTTACGTGCTGGACACGCCCGGTGTCTTTATGCCATACGTTCCGGATGCAGAAAAAATGCTGAAACTAGCACTTTGTGGTTGCGTCAAGGACTCTGTGATCTCACCCGTCACATTAGCAGACTATCTGTTATACCATATAAATTTGCATAATACCCAAGTATATGAGCGTTGGTCCCCGCCAACTAATGAAATTATGCCTCTTCTAAACGATTTCGCCCGTCATACTGGACTTCTTGCCAAGGGTGGTATTCCGAACACTGACCTTGCGGCGTTGCATTTTATCCAAAAATGGCGCGCAGGTGGCTTGGGGAAGTTCATCCTGGATGACCTGCAAGCAGAGGAACGTCATCGTCAAGAAGGCACGAAGGATAAAGTGGGCACCAGCATGTCCCAAGCGCGCAAGGCCGAAAGGATAGCAAGGAAGCACCCCCAGAAACTGTAAATAGAATAAGTATGTCCATTGTACAATAGAATGAATCTTGTTGGTATCATCAGTTGAGCTTTTTTGCTTCTCCTCAAATGCGTAAAAAGAAAAGCCAGGGATCCGAAAGTGGAGCGAATACACATATGATAAAACACAATGTGAAATGACACCCATAACGCCGTGTGAAATAAAATGTCTGAGCAAAAAAAAAAGGTTGAGGACGCCTGTACACCAGTCCATGCACACCATCCATCTCAAGTGATTTTCTCCAACAGCCTTCTCCTCCGACGGTCAACAAGTTCCTCCTGTACCTCCTCCAGAGTCGGCAATCTCCATTCCACTCCGTCACCGGCGTCACCAGGCAATGGCTCCCATCCGTCCTCAACGTCATTTTCCTTCTTCCCACGCAGACGCTCAACAGCCTCCTTCTCCTTCTGCTTCTCATAGGCCAACAGCGTCCCATCCTCTTCATCCAGGCCATAGCCGAAATAGTTCGCATCGACCTTCCTCGTCGCGATATCCCCACCTCGACCGCGACTCTCCTCCCCTTCCTCTTCCGCAGGCTTACGACCACGTCGAGCCGCAGCCTCAAACATCTCCTTGACACCAGGCAGCTCCCTAGCGCGTCCAAAATATCGATAACCCTTCCCACCACCGGGAATCTCCCTCCCCTCATCATCATACACCCGCCCCGAACCACGCATATAATTCGGACCGCCCAAATTCCGAATCTGCATCTCCCAGATCCACTTCTCGCGCATCAGCTTATTGATCTCATCATTCAGGTCCCGGATCTGGTAATCGCTCAAGCTCGGCTCTTGGATGCGGGAAACCTTGCGCGAAATCTCCTTGAGGACCTGCCCACGCCATTTTTCACACATGGGGATCGAGTCCACCGACGTGATCGCCTTAGGACGCCGGGTGCGACCGATGTCGATGATTCCGAGATCCGCCGCCTGCTGCGCCCGGAAGCGGAAGAGCATCGACTGGGCTTTTTCGCTGTTTCGCGCCTGTTGTAGGTTAAAGCTTGATTAGCGGGTGTGGTGGAACTTTACATAGTCGCATATTGGGAGAGGCTGAGGCTTATTTTCTGACGTTAGGGGGAGTGGAGAACTTACCATGGTGAGTAGCTGCGCGAGTCGATCTCAATGCAAGTTTGGAGGGGACAAGAGATTGGGGGGTGGAAGAAATATGCCCTCATGTCATGGGCAAAGTAACTTGATCCGAGCTTAGGTGGGCTCGGGAAACGTTTGGTTCAAGCGAGCGCTAGCCGGTAGTGATTTAGGCGCGCGCCTAAGTATCCGGTATCAGCCAATCATATTGGGTTTTGGCATATAAACTTGACTCCAGATACTAAGAAATGTTGTTTATACTTGTAAGTTCTTTATTGTAGGGGTACCTGGATAATACTGTCTTTGCGACAAGTGGGAGTGCCGACGGAAAATATCAAGTCTTTGGAGATTCTTACCTTTAAGCGCTTGACTGCCAGTAGAGAAATCGTCATGATATATCTTATCTTCCATGTTTGCCAGGGAGTCTCCTCCCATATTTTTCCATCCTTCAATCCTTCAGAGTCATCACTATGCGACAGATTGACCGATTGGAGTTAGCTAAACCCTATGGACAAATTTAAACACAAGAAACCGCAAAAACCAGAGCAACGTGAGCTTTCCACACTCAATGCAGATATTCTAC